TGATAATATTTTTTAGGAAAACCTGTTCTAATTTTAAATGAACAACAAAAGGAAAAATTAAATTGGAGGAAAAGTATTTCCAAACAAATAGTTAAGAAATATAAATACAAAGACCCTTTTAAAGTGTCATTTTTATTATAATACATTTTACCAATTAACCTAATTAATAATATGAAACCATTTCTAACTTTTTATGACTTCCAAAATGTATTGCTATTCATTTGTCAGCCTAAGTTTATTAAATAATAGTTTGATTTATATTTGCCTATTTTATTTGTTTAAAAAATGTGTATTTATATTTGTTAACATTTCTACAATATCGTTTTAATATTGAAACTCAATTTGAATATTTAACTAATTAAATGTATAACCAGACTGCTTTTAAACGCGATTCCTTTACTTGTTCTGTTACTCATTTATAATTATTTATAAATGTATTATGTGTATATATTAATCATTACCCAACAACAATATTTTAGTTTCTACACTAGCCAATATTTAATATAATATATACAAATATGTTTTTATTATCTCAAATCAAATATTAATTTAATTTATTTTAATTAAATTTGCAACTAAAACTCTTGACATTTTATTGCGTTTCCGTCATTCATTCAGATATTTAAACAATCCTTAACGTCACCAGACGGAGTGGAAAAGCCCACAGTCATGACAACGTCGAGTGAAAAAACTTTTACTACGAACCTGCCTGTCACCCTCTTGTCAAAGACAGTATATTTCGAGAGATTTTCCCCACAATTGCCCCATACCCGGCGGAGACACAACAGCAAATCAAATCAAACATCACCCATCATCTGGCCCACTGATAGTGCTGATAACTACTCCATTCCGATCGCGTTCTCCTCCGATAAGAGGACGCAGTGGGTGAGGTGGGCAGTACGCGATCGGTGAATCGACGGCTGGCTATATAAGCCAGAACCCATGGGTTTGGGCCTCATTAGAAGCCCTGGGCCCAAACGGAACGGAGCGGACTGAAAAATGCTGAAACTATTCGCACTGGTGCTGCTGCTGAGCGGCGTGGCCTTGGCGGCCGACAACTACGACGGGTGAGTGATAGCAATCCGGCGGAAAAGTAGTGTTTCCACGCCCAATTAGCCACATCTAAGTAGTTTGCAATTGAACGGCAGTTTCTGCAACTTTCTGGTTATCAGTAACAGTTTTTGCTTACTTAAATACCTTACTCATTAAATTTCAATTAAGACATGGAAAAAGCTTATCCTAATACTACATTATTTTATGATTGCTTGATGTTAATATCCAGACTTTTTGTAGCATATATATATATTTCACATTTTTTTAAAAATTTTTTAATCTTAAGTAAGTATTGATCTTGAATAATACTTATAAGATATGATCACTTAAAAAGTTTTAGGTTGCTTGCTTAAAGATATATTGATGCCAATTAATTACTTGTAGATATATACCCAGTAAATATTGGCATTTCAATATACTAAAATCTTAAAAAGCTTAAAATTTTACAAAGAAAATTTAAATTCATATTTAACACATGTAGTACAAATGGTGTTCTCTGATAAAGGTTTGCACTGGCTAAATAAAAGTTAAATGGATAACAAGCACTATAAATAAAAATGTATGGTTTTTAACTTTTTCCAGTAGAAAAGGCAATTATATACAAACTATTTTAACTTACCTACATTCTCTTTTTAATATTCAAATTTTGTTAACTGCATAGCTTCAAGATCTACGACATCAAGGCGCGTAATGCCTTCGAGAAGCAGCTGCTGCTGCGTTTGTCGGGAAATGAGGAGTACGACTTCTTCGATCTGCCCCGCTCCCTGGACGCGCCGAGTCGCGTGATGGTGAAGCCCGGAGATCAGGAGGGATTCGAGCACCTGCTGGAGAAGTACAACGTGGACTTCTCGGTGGTCAGCGAGGATTTCGGAGTGTCGCTGCGCCAGGAGCGCGAGGATAACCAGAACCAGAGGCTGATGAACCTGCGATCCGCCGGACGCAGCATCAGTTTCACGGCCTTCCATCGCCACGCGGAGATCAATGCCTATTTGGATGAGCTGGCCGCCGCCTATCCCAGCCGTGTGTCCGTCCAGGTTGCCGGAAAGTCGTACGAGAACCGGGACATCAAGACGATCACCATCACCAATGGCGATGGCAAGACCGGCAAGAATGTGATCTTCCTCGACGCCGGAATCCATGCCCGCGAATGGATCGCTCATGCTGGAGCTCTGTATGTGATCCACCAGCTGGCGGAGAACTTTGCTGCCAATTCGGAACTGCTGAAGAACTTCGACTGGGTCATCCTGCCGGTGGTCAATCCCGATGGCTATGAGTACACCCACAGCAGTACCCGCATGTGGCGCAAGACCCGGAAGCCCATTAGCAGCTCCTGCTACGGAACCGATGCCAACCGCAACTTCGACTTCCACTGGGGAGAGGTGGGCGCCTCCAGCTACTCCTGCTCCGACACCTTCAAGGGCGAGACGGCCTTCTCCGAGCCGGAGACCCAGCTGCTCCGCGATCTTCTGCTCGACCTGACCGGACGTGGCAAGTTCTACCTGACCCTCCACTCCTACGGCAACTACCTGCTGTACCCTTGGGGATGGACCTCGTAAGTAACTCCGTTTCGTACCCACAGCTCTACTTTGTCTGTATAATTATCCTAGGGGTTATAAGGTGTAAGGCATGGTTTGTCCATCACTTTACAAGATTAACATAGAATCGACAAGCTGTAGATATTTCATTTAATGTCTACTCTAATAATAATAAGCTTCAATTTTCAATGGAAAGTGATGAGTGATAACAAGCTTAGTTGTTTAAGTAAGTGTCTTTACTTTCGTCTGTATAGTCACCTATTTTTTTAGAGTGTAAGCTACTCAGCTTGAAATCTGCTTTTTGTATATGTTAACCAGGTATGAAAACTTTAGGGTACTACTCCCGACCACTTATACATTGCCTTTTAATGTATTTAAGGCATACCAGAACGAGACTATTTTTAATTTCTTGAATAGGGTGTGCATTGTATAAAACGGTGAGATTAAGGTTTTCTTTTTTTTACCACCCCAATTATATATTAAGTCAAAACTTGGTAGATAGCTTTGGTTTTGAAGAAAAAAAGCCTGGAAAGATCTATTTGGTAAAGAGACTGATGTAGATTTTAATTTTTCGGGATTATAAATCTCCTTTATTCCCATTCCTCTCTAATCCATCCCATATTTTTGCAGGGCTCTTCCCAGCAGCTGGCGCGACAACGATGAGGTGGCCCAGGCTGGAGCGGATGCCATCAGGAGTGCCACCGGAACCAAGTACACCGTGGGCAGCTCCACCAATGTCCTGTATGCGGCTGCCGGCGGTAGCGACGATTATGCCTTCGGAGTGGCCAACTTCCCGGTGTCCATCACCATGGAACTGCCTGCTGGCGGCACTGGCTTCAATCCCACCACCAGCCAAATCCAGTCCATGGTGGCCGAAACCTGGGTGGGCATCAAGGCCATGGCCCAGAAGGTTAACGAAAAGTACTAGGCGAGTGCAATAAACGCCATTGATATTTCCCAAACGCAACGTCTTCTTACTAATTGGGAATTCTACTCCCGTTCTTGGCATTTTCACGCATGGTAAGATAGGCGGGCGTCCCATCGGGAGGCCGTATCACTCGACTTGTGGCATTGACATACTGGGCTAATTGGAATGGGCACTCCACTCTGGATTCTTGTGACTTATCGCCTTTTGCTAATTGAATTCATCAAGTGCGATAGAATTCAAGTGGTAGTCTAGATTATCACAATTACGCAGAAAAATCCAAAAGCCACAAGAAACGAAAATGTTCTAAAGTTATACATATTTATAGAAATTTTCGTTTTGTGGGATTTTGATTGCCATTCATTAATTTAAAAGATTAATAGCAAAATCTACTGCCATTATTTCCTAAACAATTATCATAGATTTCTGAAATGTTTAATTTGATAAACTACTTTTTTTTTAATTGGTATACATCCACTTTGTCGAAATAGCTGGAATATACAATTTCTTTGATTAGTAAAAAAAACTGCGCCAAAATAATGTATGAAAAGACGCATTATTAAAATTAGAAATCTGCCAAATGCCTAACCCAACTTAACTGACTCTCGTAGAAAATCTTACTATCAACATCAAAAAATTTGCCAAGCAGCCCAAAAAGCAAAACTTAAACGCTCATTCGCAACGTGTTCAGAAACGGCTTGAAAATCGACTTCTTTCTTCATCGAAAACTGACTTAGTTTCGTTCCTTACCTAGTAAAAGATATTTCGAGCTATCGGCAATGATGCATTTGTTGACACAAAGTGAGTTTTCCAGCTTTAAATGTTTTGTCCGGATATGTATCGTTTTCGATATCGTTTGTTCAACTGCGAAATCATTTCCCTGATATTTGAAAATTGGTTTTTCTAAATCATCAAATCAGAAAAAGAAAACCAGTTCTATTACTCCCTAGTGAATATAATCTCACCCACATTGCCCTTACATTTCGTGTTTCAATTTAGCTTACACCACTTAACTTTATTATTCCCTTGGCACTAATTTGCAGCCATATCGGTCAAGATCACCATCAACATCAAATACTGGCATAGAAATAGAGTTTCAGGCGAAGTCATAACTTTTTCGCCCTAGAAGTAATCTTACAATTTCTGATTTGCAAACAAGGAAAAGAAGCATTCACTGCTCAAAACAGTGCCTTAAAATTGTATATGTTGCTGTTGCTTCCAAAGCCCTTAATGCATAATAAGGAAAATTATTTTTATTCTTCAATCCAGTCGTTTAACATTTTTAGGTCATTGGGATATGTCTACCCACCAGATCAAAATAATTGCATCCGTGTCCGTTGGTTTGATTTGATAAATTTTATATTATATATTAAAGAAATTCTGTGTGAAATTGTCAATTTTGATTTCTACATTTATTTGACTTAATTTATGAATAATAAAATTCGTTGTCAAATTATAAAATTTATTCAAGCCTTATTTGGGTGGAGCTTAAGACTCTTTCCTTGATGACCATATTTGAACGAATTCCGGCTTTATTAATAAGAATTACTGTCTAGATGGATGTTTCTACCCTTCGAACGTCAGGAATCTGTGGCTTCTGTTGGGTATTTCTGCTAGGGGAGGCATTAGATTGGTTTAGCATTTGACTTAAGTTTTAAGGACTTACTCTTCTCTGAGCCATTGAAGCGTTCTATTCCTAACGATAAAAATCACGAAAATAGAAATTCCAAAGGCCGCATGAAAATAGTCGGATACCCACAGGACATCTGGCCAAAAATCGTAGGCTTGCATTATACAGAGAAATAAGTCCAGACTCCAAGTCAATCCCCAGATCGTAGACAACCGTATGCAAGTTGCGAAACTTTGATCGGGATAAGGAATTATAATGACAGTAAGGAAACATATACTTTATTAAGACTTACCTCAAGCTCCTTTGAAAGGGGTTTAATTTTTCTACTTCCCTTCGAATCATCATTAGCTTAGAGATACTCAAGGACACGTTTAAGATGCTCAGGATCAGCATCGGTCCATAGAAGTAGATTACAGTGGGAAAGTCCAAAGGTTTAATGGTAACGAAATACTGGGTTTGAAACCGTGTCTCGTGCTCCCGAAAATGATTGATTAGTAAGACGACTCCAGTCAGGATGGCCGCAGCGCTCCAAACAAAGGCGTTGTAGACCAGGAAAGGAATCCGGGGAATCTTACCTTTCAATTCCTTAAAACTGTCCTTGAAATAACAATTCAGGAAGGAAAACCAAAGAAAAGAAGCCGCCCAGAAGAAGTGTGTAACATAACCTGGAGGATATCAAACTCGCAATTGCTTAGTCTACATTCAAATTGAGCAACTAACCTGCTGGACCACGAAAGTCCTCCAATAAGCCCCATACATCCAGCATCCAGATGAGGCATTTCATAAACAGGCAGAATAAGCAGCAGATAAAGCACTTGCCGATCCGATTTCGAAGTTCTTTTACGTATAGATATACTGCGATCGTGAGGATATAGCAAAGCAGTGAAACTACAGCGACTAAATATAGAGAAACAAAGATATGTCTTAAGCCAAAATAGTTTCCAAACTATCTATTTACTTACTCTGACTTACTGCCGGTCCCAGTTTCTTTGTGGAATCCGAGTCAGTTCTGTTTAAAGTTTCTCCCCTTGACTCATTTACGATCAATAGAACAATCAGAGTACTAAACAATTTCAGTGGTAGCCACATTTCGGGACTTGAAACTTGCTGTGCGGAGAACGAAGCTCGACTGACCATTTACAAGCTAAGTTCATAAATATAAAGATCTTCGTTCCGGGTACCACTTACTTTGAATATCGACCCCAAAGGGACTGTATTTCCATGGAAAAACAATCTGTGCAGAGTGTTTATGTTGTTCTGAATATATGCCGCTGAACTCGATGAATTTACGTCATCACTTGCGATTAGAAAACGGGCATCTCGGGAGTTGAAAACTGATTAGAAAACAATTAGTGAATTCCGCTGGTGTTTGGGGTGCGTGGCATTCTTTCCAGTTCAGCTAAAACTCTAATTGAAGCAAATAAATAAAAAAATTATTGAAGCTAAACATTAGGAAGGAGTTTGCTTATTTGATGCCCTATTTCTTGGGTCATGTTGTTAATTTGATAACGTTTAGAACTAAAAATAAAACACCAATAAATTTGCACTTCACACAATTTATTTTTTTTTGCTTTTTGTAAAAATGTTTGATTGCAATCAAAAACAAGAGAGAACGCTATAGTCGGGTGCCCCGACTATCAGATACCCGTTACTCAGGTAAAGGGAGTGCGAGGGAGATGGAGATAGAAACTTTGATCACGCATAACTTTTTAACGAATGGTCCGATTTGAAAAATTTCTTCTACATTTCGATAGGTATTGATAAAGACAATAAAACTGCATTTTTACTTTTCCGAAATATTTAAATTTTTAAAATCGTATATAAGCGATTGTGGGCGTTAAAGTGGGCGTGGCACCTTTTTGAAACAAACTTGCGCTGCGTAGGAACTCCTAGAATCTGCATGCAAAATGCCAATCTTCTAGCTTTTATAGTTTCCGAGATCTCAGCGTTCATACGGACAGACAGACGGACAGACAGACGGACAGACGGACAGACGGACAGACAGACGGACAGACGGACATGGCTAGTTCGACTCGGCTAGTGACCCTGATCAAGAATATATATACTTTATAGGGTCGGAAACGCTTCCTTCTAGCTGTTACATACTTTTGCACGAATACAATATACCCTTTTACTCTACGAGTAACGGGTATAATCAACAAAACGATATCTAAGCCATAAAAGCAATTTAATCAAATTAGCGAAGCCAATTATAAACTCTAGATGATTCATAAGAGCACGTTTTGCAAAGTTATGCAAGGGGATACTTTTGTATCACTCTCCGTGCCATGGCCGCAATGCCGATCCAGGTCTCCCTAACTAATCGATCGATATCCGAAGCTGGAGGATCGAATCCATCTGCCCCACCAAAGGGCAGTTCCATGGTGAAAGAAATCGGGAAGCCCGCATTGAAGGCGTAATCATCACTTGCCCCAGCAGCCGCGTAATTTATGGTAGTCGTTGAGGGTCCTACCTTATAAACAGTGCCTGTGGCCTCGTGTATAGCCTTTTTCCCTTCTGCAGCTACCTCCTCCAGGTCGTCAACGGTATCGGGAACATCTCTAAAAGGTAAATAATTAAATATAACTGAATGGGGAACAAATTATCATTGTAGAATAATATTTACGCTGTCCAACCCCAGGGGTATAGGATGAGTGAGCCATAGGAATGCAAGGTGAGATACATTTTTCCTCGATCCGCGAAGCTATGGATGAGATCCCTCACCACCAGAGCCTCCGGTTCCGAGAAAGGCTTCGCTCCGGCGTACGTGTTATTACACGGATCCTCCGAAGCGCCCTCCTCATTCCAGTGGAAATCAAAGTTCCTATTGGGATCGGTACCGATGCAATCGGAGCTGCTGGGTTGGCGGGTCTTCCGCCAGAAACGATTATCGGGTGAAGTCTGGGTGAACTCATAGCCATCGGCATTAACCACGGGAAGGATAACCCAATCGAAGTCCTGCAGGAGGTCCGCATTACCTTCGAAATTCTCCACAAGTTCATTGATTAGATGAACCGCAGCTGCTGGAGAGATCCACTCGCGCGCATGGAAGCCACCATCCACAAGGATCACATTCTTGTTACGCCTCGCATCTCCATTGGTTATTGTCACTGTTTTCAACCACCGACCCTCGTAACTTTTGCCCACGGTTTTAACAAAAACCCTACGGGGATTATCCCTAGCCAAATCCTCGATGAACTGGTTGATCTCAGCATGCGAGTAGTACCTTTCCGTGCCCAATCTTCCATTGTAGGGGAACCATTGGCGCAACATGCGATCCGTTTCGAATTGGCGCCTCAGAGTGAGGCCCACATCCCGGTTGACAATATCGTAGGCCACATTATTTTCACCCATCAGTCTCACAAAGTTTACCTGTTCGTCGGGATGCACCATAACCTTGACTGAATTGCCACCTTTAAAGCCGGAGAACACCTCATAATATGACTCATTCTTGACCAATTCGGAAAGAGTTAGTTCCAAAGCGGCAGAACGGGCTTTCCTTGATACCTCGTACACTTTGTAACTAAGAAAATAAATTTGTTAATAAAGATTTTATATGATATATTTTGTTAATTATAATACCCATCGTATTTGTTAAATTTCTGCAGTCCAGCAGAGAAACTCAGACAGCTGAGCGTCAGAAAAAGCCACCAAACTGTCATCTTCGCAAGTCGCAACCTATCTAAGTAATACAACTTAAAACACTATTGAAGAAACTTTCGCGGTCGACAATCTCGAATCGTTATCAATAAATAGAACTTTATGGATGGTTGTAAAATCAAGAGAAATCGATCGGAGAGTATGATTGCCGACAATAAAAATAACTAAACATTTATCAGCTTTGTTCCCAATTACGTTTTCCTCAAAAAGTCGTCGAAATCAAGTGAATTTAATTCGATTTTAATTGATTGCCTATTTGTTTATCCATAAAAAAGCAGTACTAGCTTAACAACACTTTGACCTCTTTACTTGATTGATTCAAGGATACCTTTGAAAACTAATCCTTGTGTATAATAAACTGAACACTTAATTAAAATTAAGAACAATTTATTGGAACATATATTTAGTACATCTCGATGAGCTTCTCGGCCATGGCGCGGATACCGATCCATGTTTCGGTGACGAACTCATCGATGCGGGTGACTGGAGGATTGAATCCGATGCTGCCAGCTCCAGTCAACTCCATGGTGATGGAGACATTGAAGCCGGCATAGTAGCCATAATCATCACTGGCTCCAGCTGCAATATAGAGTACATTGGTGGAGGAGCCGTAGGTGTACTCCGTGCCAGTGGCGTTCTTAATGGCCTCGGCTCCAGTGCGAGCTACTGCATCCAGATCCTCCCAGTTGTCGGGCAGGTCTCTAAAGAATTGTAAATAAAGGTAGAAATGATTAATGCTTTAAAAAATGAATTTGGTATAATGTCTTCGTTATGTAACGATTTATAGAACTATAAAGATTTTTAAATTTTAAAACTTACTATTTTGTTCAACTTTAAACAAGTGAAAACAATTAAAATTTCTTGAGCTGGAATGACCTGTTATTTTTACTGATAACAGAAAAATGTTGTTGAAATTTCTGTGAGTTCTAAGCAACACTGTACAACAAATTATGTTGTTTTTAAAATATACTAAATTCTAATGATATTTTGTAACGGAAATAATACTAATTGTAATCACTAAGTTTTTGTTTAACCTCACAAAAAATTAGAAAAAATAAAGGTTATACGAGAATATAAAGTCTTAATTTCTGAAAAATTGTAGATTTAAGCTGGTTGACTTACGAAGTCCATCCCCAAGGATACAGCAGATAGTTTCCGTAGGAGTGGATGGTGAGGTACATAATACCCTTGTCCGCCAGCGAGTGCATCAGATCCCGGACGACAATGGTCTCCGGTTCGGAGAAGGCGGTTGGGCCGGCATAGGTATCCGCGCAGGGATTCGAGGAGGCACCCTCCTCGTTCCAGTGGAAGGCAAAGTTCCGGTTCGGATCCGCTCCATAGCAGGTCTGTCCGGCGGACTGATATGGCTGCCGGGTTTTGCGCCACATGCGGGCCAGAGTTCCGCTCTGGGAGTGCTCATAGCCATCGGCATTGACCAGGGGCAGGATGACCCAGTCGTAGTCCTTCAGCAGATAAGCATTCTCCTCGAACTGCTCCACGAGCTGATCAATAACATATAAAACCGCCGCCGGAGAAATCCATTCCCTGGCATGGAAGCCGCCATCCATGAAGATCAACTTCTTGCCGGCCTTTCCATCGCCATTCGTGATGGTGATGGTCTTCAGGACTCGCTTTTCGTAGGACCAACCCACGGTCTTGACGTACACCCGCTTGGGATAACGAACCGCCAGGTCATCGATATAGTTGATGATCTCCTCGTGGGTGTAATAGCGCTCCGTGCTCAGGCGACCCTTTCCCGTGATGGGAGCCAAGAGGCGCTGCATCTGCCGCTGGGCAAACTCCTCGGCAATGGAAGCTCCCAGATTGGAGTTCACTAGGCTATGGTTAATCCTCTGTCCCTGAACCAACTGCTGGAACGGCTCCAACTGATCAGGACTTACTATCACACGAGAAGGATGCTCTAACAGACGACTCTCACTGATGAAATCAAATCCCTGCAGGCTGAGCTGGTGCAGCAATTGAGCCTGGTCGGAATTCGAAGGAGTCACCTCATAAATGCGATAACTAAAAACAGATTTATAAGGTAAATTTAAAAAAATGCATCTTCAAACAAAGATTAAAGACAAATTTCATAACTTAAGCATGTATATATGTTATAGATATATGTAAATTCTTTAAAGATGTTTCTTCATCAAATACTCTATGTATAAAATATTCCACTTATATATTAATAAAATTAATAGATTATAAAAATTATTTTATATTTCATATCAATCAATTCGATTTTTGCGTAACAGAACATTTGGTAAAACCTTTAAATAGAAAAATTCAAGGAATAAACTAACTGCTTTTAGTGAGCTTTTAATTTTAATTAACATTTCTTTCTTTGGTTTATGAATTAAATTTAAGTAAAAGAACATTCGGCGAAGCCCTTTTAGGAAACTAGTAAAAATAAACAAGCTCCTTTGCTGGTCACTAGTGTTATACAAATATTTTCCTAATAATTCTAAGCTCTTGTGGAAAATATTTTCCTAATAAAAGTAATGTTACTTTATTTAACCATTTAAAATGTTTTATTTCTCTTTTTCTAAATGTTCATTATAGTTTCTGAATTGTGAAATTTGCAGGTCTTTCTATCCCTACCCAACACTTACCCCTCATAATCCTGATCGGCGGCCACCAGAGCGGCGCCCAAAAAGAGCACTAGCAAACCCAGGGAGAACTTCATCTTCGCGCAGACTAAGCAACCGCGTGGCTGCGGCAAGCCACTTAAATAGCCAACCAAAGTCACCTGGCCACATATCTAATCGGCAAATGGATCAATAAATAATAAACCACTCCAAAACTCCCGCACGAGTGACCCGCAAATCAGAGCTGGCGCAATTTGACTCTAATGTATCTTTATTTACAATCCGATTACGCCGCATAGGTTCTTATCACCTCCGCGGCCATGGCTCGCACTCCCACCCAACTTTCCGTGACCAATCGCTCGATGTGGGAAACCCAGGGATCGAATCCCATGAATCCTGCCGCCGGCAGCTCCATGGTCATGGCCACCGTGGCATTGACCACTCCCAAAGCGAAGTCCGCCGTGTCGCCCGATGTCGGATATAGGACGTAGTAGGTGCTCCCCCAGCTATATATTCCATTCGTGGAGTGGACGATCGCCTTGGCACCGGCATCCGCCACAGACATCATGTCCTGGTAGCGATCCGGAAACACACTGAAAAAATAAAAATTCATTTTTTATTTTATTTATATTTTGAATTTTGAGAATAAAATTCGAACTCAACCCATGAAAACACTAATTTTGAGATTCTGAAGCATGAATTATACCTTTAAGGAATATTGTTTAAGTACTTCTTAACGGATAATAATATTTGATTCCTTTAAATACAAATTATGTATCACAACTATGCAGTATTTTAATTATATATTTATATATATAAGGTTGTATTGATTGCCCTTATTTTTAAAGAAATGTAAACACTTAAAGTCTACATTTTTTTTAGAATTACTAATAGAAATGAGCCAATATATTAAGGCCATGCAATTAAAATGACAACTTGCTGTTTTCCTTAGCAAAGTAACCGGAGATTACTTTTTGTCCAGATAAAGTCGTACAACACAATGTACATTTTGTCTACAATAAATTATATCGTTATCGATTACATGTGATAATCAAATTTATTGACCTATTTATGTGTTGCGCAACCAATATTTGAACAAAAAAAATTTAGTAACATTCCACATGTTTATACCTCAGCTATACCGCTTTCTTAAGTCTTAGTGATTTTTTAATAGTAAATAAAATATGTATTATTTTAACGACATTGCCAAACATTGCCAGAAAGATGCTGAATTTTTACTATTTTTATAAATTCTAGATTACTTGATTTTGATAAATTCTAAGTGGGCTTATTACCTTGGGCCACTCAACTCAAATCAGCAATTAATTGTCTCTATAAGTTAAACTACTCTTAAGTGTGGTTTGGTAGGGCAACCTTTATCTATAAATATAAAAATATAGATTATATGGACGCGCAGAGAAAAATAACTTTGTTGCCTCAAGTGAACCCTACAAAATGATTACTCTTTTTTTCTCTTTGAAATATTATCCCTTTTACTCAATTTAAGATCTCTTCAGGCTAATCTCAAACAATAATATCACATGTTCTTTTCAGCGATCTTCTAAAATAAGATTATAATCCTACCTTGTATATCCCCAGGGCAGGAGGAATTTGTTTCCGTAGGAGTGCAGTGAGAGATAAAAGTTAAGGCGTCCCTTATAATTGAGGAGAACATCTCGCAGGACCTGCGACTCGGGTTGATCAAAGGTCCGCTCTCCTCGATAATTATCCTCGCAAGGATCTGAAGAGGATCCCTCATCATGACCCCACTCGTATCCGAAATTTCGATTGATATCCGTGCCAACGCATTCCGGATTACTTGTGGGTCGACGAGTTTTTCGCCAATAACGCGATTCGGTATGAGAATATTCATATCCATCGGCATTAACCACTGGCATTATCACCCAGTTGTAATCCTCTAAAAGTTCCTGGTTTTCCGAATAGTTATCCAATAACTGCTGGATTATATAGAGGGCCATCGAGGGCGATATCCATTCCCTGGCATGAACAGTGCCATCGATTACGATCACCGGTTTATCCCGCTTCCCGTCTCCATTGGTAATGGTTAAAACTTTTAGCGGTCTGCGCTCGTAACTCCATCCAAATTGCTTCAACTGAACTCGTTTGGGAAATCTTTCTGGTAAACTATTCAGGTACTCATTAATTTCCGAGTGGGTATAAAATGCTCCCAGGACATCAATGTGGGGCAGTTGAATGAATTGTTTTTTCTGTAGATTCTCTGCTCGTTGGGCCTGCACAAATGGAGCCAAATCCTCGATCAGCACCCGATGGTCCAAGTTATGACTCCGGAAAGTTTTAAGCAAATTTTCAACTTCTTTAGGCGGTATCATCACCTTAAGTGAACTCTCATTAGCATTTCGATGCGTCCCGAGAAAATCCCAAAGTGGGTTTTCTTTAAAAAAAGTTCTTATAAGATTGTGCTCTTGAAGTCCTTGGGGCTTCAGCTCGAACACCTTGTAGTCCTTGTAATCCTGCCAAGCAAACAGGACCAATGGCTGCACTAGCAGTAGAGTTAGTAATCCCAAGAGCGCGGAAGTCATTTTGGCACGAGAGTCCGATATTGACTGAAGTAAAGCAGTTGTGAAGGCTAATCGACTTACCCATTTTTATCACTTTATTGGAGACGCTGCCGCCTGCTTACGATACCAAAAAGCCGAATCATTTATATGCTTCCGTTTATGGCATAGACAAATTAAAGAGTTCCCCCTTCTGTTTCACAGGGCTTGAAAATGATTATAAAAAAAACTAGTTCCGGTTCATATACAAAAATGGTTTTAATATTTCTTCATATGTATTTTAATTAACTTGCTGAAATAGTTAACATTTTATTTTCTCTTGAAATGTTGAGTTTGGTGGAACAAAGACAACTAAAAAATTATTTTTAAAAGTCAAATAGAGAATCTTTTTTAACTTAAAATTAAACCGCTTGCAAGTTTTAAAACATTCTCTTATTTATTTTTGAAACCTACAATTTCCATACAACTCATCGGCAAAATACACTTATAAAAAAATGCAAATTGATGCAGAAGTTTTTGTTGATGATAATGGTGATAAAAACCGTGATTACTATAAAAAAATTCTGTTGTTCATTAGGCAATGGATACAACCAAAAAGAAACCATCAAAGAAAAGTTTCAATCAAAAAAATTTAAAACCAAAAAATAATTAATCACTGAGTCACAGTTTAATTTATTTTTTTATAACTTGTTCTTGGGTTCTTCTTTTTTTGATAAATTTTTGTTAATAAAATTGTGATTTCAATTGCGAAATGATCTTAAAATGTTTACCTTTTTGGTCCTTTTAGTTAATTAAAAAATATTCGAAATCCATATTCATCTCTTTAATGCTTAACAACGAAGTCACTAATTATTTTAAATTTAACAAACATAAATTCAATTGCTTAAACTTTTAGGAAATAGAGGAGCCTCTAGTAGAGGCTGACATGCCGAATGAACTCGATGAAGCCGGCGAATGTCTCCTTGCAGACGTGGATGATGTCATGGGCGGGCACGTGGAACTCGTCACCGGGCAGCTCGAGCGTGTAGGACAGTGGGATTCCCAGGTTGCCATAGGCGAAGTCGTCCAGGCTGCCGGATGCCTCATACAAAATCGAGGCGGAGGTGCCGGTGGTGTAGCGGGTGCCACGGTACCTGCCGATCTGGTTGGCGGCCCTCAGAGCCACTGAACGCAATGTTCCCACGGTGGGTGGCACAGTGTTTCTACACAGAGAGAAAATATTATTTAAATACAAGCCCTTTACAATTTTTTAATACGAATCAAATTAGTGAATGCTTATAAGTTTTACTCAATGTCCCACTGTAAATTATCACATTAATCCTAATTTGATCATAAAAACTTTAAAAAACATTTAAAAATTGTTTTAAATTCTTCTTCTTAAAGAGAGAATCCAAAATGTTTCAATGATTTTTGCTAGAACTAAAATTTCCAACTGTTTTACATTTTAAATAATCATTCTCATTTTGTCGAACAGTGCAAATAAAAAAGAATTAAATGGCTGCAATGGCAGAAATATTCGGGTTTAATTGCTTTTAGCAAATAATTGAAAAGTAAATTGAATTTCTTTCCGGGCCACCCGCTGGCTGGGCCTTCAGCCGCAGTCGGGGATTTTTGGACATGGAAAACATGGGAATCAGGAAGAGTGCCTGCTGGCTGCTGGTTGCCAGTCCATACTCACTTCGCGTAGCCGTAGGGATAAAAAATGAATTTGCCAAATGAGTGAACATCCAGGCTGAGTTTCACACGGTTCCGATTGAATTCCAGATATCGCACCACGGCCGAGGTCTCCGGTTCCGAATTGGGCGCCGTTCCCGAGTAAACCTCCGAGCAGAGCTGTCGTTTTGGATGAAAGGGATTCGGGGGTTACGTTGGTCAATGGCGAAGGTCAATGTCGGGGTCAACAAGTGGCTTACGTTCTGGCTGGCACCCTGATAGTTCCAGTGGTTTCCAAAGTTCCGGTTGATGTCCACGCCGGAGCAGGAATGACCCGCATAACGATGACGGTTCTTGCGCCAGAAGCGATCCTGCAAGGGATTTAATTAAAATTTTTGAATAATAACATTTAAGATAACATTTATCTAAGTAATTCTATTTTGTTTAATTTCTCAAAATGAAACAGTCTACCCATTTGTACTGAATACTTGAACACAAGTGTCTAAGAATTCTATAAATACTTTAAACATATTTAAAACACTTTTAAAATGTCACTTCCCTTTGAAATAATTTATGTGTTCCTCTTGTTTTTCGTATGAAAATTTTAAAATCATATGTATGAAAGTACTTAATGATAAATGGTCTAATGTTTTGAAATTATACATAAACATCTTTTTACGCTTTGATATTTTTCTAAAAGTAGTAATACATTTTTAATGATAACATTTATATTTCATTTATAATAATTATTTTAATTATTATTAATAAAACTTTACTTTGCCCGTCCATAAGTAAAAACAAAGTAAATTGGAACAGTATCCATTATTTTTGATGGTACAAAATAGAAGTATGGCTAAATGAATAATAAATAATTTTTCTCAAAAAGGAAACTTCCAAAATGTAGCAAATTGGAAAACGCAAAGCTTCAAAAAGCATTTTATAGTATACGAATATTATCAAAATTATGAAAACTTTTTTCGCTAATTATACAATTTACTTTACTCCTTATTAGCCTCTTTATTTGTCCCACATTGTGAAATATTTGCAAATATTTATTTCCCACTTACCGTCGTGTGGGTGTATTCGTAGCCGTCGGGATTGACGAGGGGCACTAGGAAAATCTCCACATCCTGCAGGACCCTTGTAAAGGCTCGCAGATTGCTCAGCAGTTCGTAGGCCAAATAGAGAACCGTCTGCGTGGTGATCCACTCCCTTCCGTGGGTGGCTGCCTGGATATAGGCCACTCGACGAGGTCGTACCCTGCTGTTCAGGGAAATCGAGAGGGCAGCTATATGACGACCCTCGTTGGAACGACCCAGGGATTCGTAGCGACAGTACTGCGGATATCTGGCGGCCAGTCCGCTCATGAAGCTGAGCACCTCGTGGTAACGCGGATAGTGCGAGAAGAAGCCACGGGCCTGGCGACGAGTCCTCCGACGTGGACGCTCCGCCTGCTCACAATTCTCCTGCTGGCACTCCTCGAACTCCCCATCGGAATCACCTTCGGCATAGGAACTGTTCGCCTGCAGGGCGGCCATCAACTCCATTAGAGGCTGCATCTCGTAGTTGACTCCCAAACTCGACAGACGCGCCTCGAACTGACTCTTCCGCTTGGGGCTCACTGTCAGCACGGATGAGTTTCTGGTCAGGAGCCAAAAGTCCAGCTCCGCGTCGTTCGTCTGCAGATCCACCATATACCGGAACGCATCCTCGTCACCATGTTGCACCGTGTACTTGGTGTAGCTAGAAACATAAAATATTTCATTAATCGGTCGACTAAAATGTATACTTTTCGTTGGTGAAAGGCAATATCTTTCTGGAACATAATAAATAATGTCTAATAAAATAATTTAATTTTTACAACATTACCAGGAGTTAAAACAATTTTCTTTAATCAACTCTCAATAATATGTAATATTATTAATATTATACATAAGAAAGAAACAAATCTTTTAATTTGTAAAATTTGTACGTACATTTGTTTATAAATGATTTTATACAAGGAAAAGGTATATATGGGGAATACGTATAAAAGATTTTAAATAAGGGAAGATAATAAAAGAAAATTATTGTTAAAATAATTAAATTTAAAACATTTTATGTTCCTGAAAATTTTAAGTATTGTGTTTAAAAGGACTTTTAAACTAATAGAGTTTATAATTGATTAAGTTTCTAGGAACACAACTTAAATTATATAAATTTAAATTACTTTTTTAGCCATAGTATATTTAATCAGTTTCTTGTACGCCCTTAATCCCATTATCAATAATTTAACAAGATAAAGTTTATTTGATAAACAAATCAAAAGCCATAATTTCTAGTGAGTATGTCAAGGTTGGGTAATCCATTGTTTTGAAAGATATGTGTTAATTAATTCATTGTAAAGATACGTGATGTTCAAACAAAAAAATATTTGCATCCAGTTGACAGGCATTTAATTAATCTAATGGCAAAACATGTATACACTTTTTGCTAGTTTTTATCAAGCCCATTTTTCGGAACTAAGAGTGTGATATGCTCATTAGCGGATCATAATTAACTGATACCTCGCCAGATAATAATAATCTAGCAGCGGGAAATCCCGATGATTGCTCCACATGTCTCAAACTAATTGGACAACAAATTAATTTATGGCTCGCCCTCGCCTGGCGTCAAAATGAGTTGTTGATTCATAAATTTATGCAAAGCGACTGCTGGCCGCTGCTTGTTGGCTCTTTGCCACCTCGCACGAATCGGTGGCCAATTTATCATCTCTTGAAATTCCACAACGGAAAACACACACAAGATACAAGAAATAATGAAGCAACAAGTCTTAAGTCCCTGCATATTTATCTCGTCTGCATTATGGGATTGTGGGTGGCAGGGGGCATATGATATGGTATTATATGGCAGACAAAAGCTAATCACGTGAGACAGACAACGGCATGCGATGATAATTTAATAAGACACCCAGCTGTTGGCCAAAATAAAATAGCCAGCGGGGCTCGTTTTTCATCTTTAAGATGAATAAGTTTGTTTTCGAAATTTTCTCTAAGCATTTTTAAACAAATCAGAGCCTATTGTCCAAATCGAAATTCGACCTTGTGTTTACTGATATCACTCTGCATGTTTAGCTTTATATTTTTGAACTTGAAAATGGTTATGTGATGAAACTGCTGGCTTGCGTTGATCGGAAGGAAGCTTTTAAATTGGACACGGAATTCCAGACAGTGGGTCTGAAATTCTGCCCTCGAACTGAAATTCTGCCCCCTACAACCACAAAGCCCTCATCCATCACTCATACGCCACATGGACCCGTGACAGGCGGGGGGAGTGGCATGTTTGGCAAACATTTCGCACTGCGATCGCTTGGCAATTACAAATTGTGCAAATTATCAACGGAATTGTTAAATGTACAATTGTTGGCCATTGACCAAACGACAAAACGTTTAGCATCGCTTATTATGACGACTTCTAATCACGGCCAATGACCATGGAATCGTCGTGCCGTATAGGAAATATATTAAAGTAAATTAAAACCTCTGTTTATTTAAGTTAAGACTTCAAAGATGACGTAGAATTTATTTTATATAACTTAGAGACCATGCAATGATTTCATCATAGTAAAAATAGTTCTATCTTAACTCAGAAAATTATTATATCAATTTGAGTGCACGTAGAAAAAAAATTAAAATGAGCCATTGTTTTCTTAAGTATTTCTAAGGTAAATACTTTTCTTTAAATAAGTTTTCAGACTTCAAAATTCTTTACATTTTCTCTATTTTAAAAAATTTTAGCTTAAACATCTATTTTATGATAAATTCTACGAATATTTGAAATATGATATATATTTTAAACAACAGAAAGAAATAGAATTTCAAGTAAATGTTGTTTTTTTTAAAAAAAGGTTAACAAAAATATTTCAAATAGTTTTTATTTAGTTTTTACACAATTTTGGTTTATTTGAAAAAAAAAAATATTCATAAGCTTTTAGCAAACACAGTTTGATATTGTGTCATTTAAATTGCTAAATTATACACAATTTATGAACTGCCAAATAGGAACATTTTATAAAATTTAACAGATTTAATTTTGTTATGCATTATTTTAACAAGATCTCATCGCTAATTATGAGAACTATTAATAGATTCGATATTAATATGTATATTATGATTCCCAACCTGTTTTTAGCTTAGTAACCCAGGCATTTTATTTCCAAAGATATTTTTATTAAACTCAAACGCAGCAAAATGCTGCGATTTCTTCAGGAGACTGTGGATTGGTTCTGCCAATACTATAGCTATTTTTGGCTGGCCTCCATAATGGCCATTCCGTACCTATCCTACCGATCCAAACAGGGCGACTTCAATCTGTTGGACGGCTTTATAATGTACGCAGCTGTATTTATTGGCGCCTATGGATTGATTCAGGACGAAATACGTGGTCGTCCTCGGTAAACTAACTGCTAAATTGGCCCTGATCATGACAGAGATGCGAAAACCCGTTTATCAGCTAGAAACACTTAGCCATAAACCGAAAAAAATTCAATTAATGACTTGCCCTAAAGAAGAGACTCTTGATTGATGGGTATTACGTATTACTTTTTTGCTACTTTTCGGTAACGTTGTAAATTATAATTAATGCGGGCAACCGCTGATGATTACCCTTCGTAGCCGGCCAAGTTGTTTCCGAGGCCGAAACCCGCCAATCCGACGAGGCAGAAAGTCAAGCTCCACACGATTCCCTGCCACATTTTTGCCATATATATACAAGCACTGAGCACTGGGATGCTTCCACGATCTTTGGCTAATTATGTATTAAAATATGCAGTTGCATGGACAAGCACACGTTTTTGTATATTTTTTATGCACTTTTGTTTGGCTGTTTGTTTTATTGTTTGCACGCTGCACTTGTGGCGATTAGGCAAGAGTTTTCGAGTGCTTTTAGTTGCAGCAATTAGCTGGTCAGACTTGGTTTTGAGTTTGAGTTTGGGTTTGGGAAAATATTATAAATCACAGCTCAGCGGACGCGATCCGTGCGTTCCATCTCCGGTCCGGCGGAAGACTGACGGGCGGTTTGTAAAGCGGCCGAGAAAGAAGACGAGATGTTGGCCAAAAAGCAGAGACCAAAAAATGGTCTCGGATCCGAGTCGATTGTTTAGAAAAGTGAGTGTCAAGGTCGGGCCTTGCGACCAGTTTTTGAGTTCCGAAATAAAAAAGCGGCAAACGCGTCACGAGATAAGATTGGGGCACGCGTCGCGTCTATATAAATATGTCGTATAAGAACTTCTTGTTATTTTTGCATAATTTATTCACCGGTTCGATTCCCTTTAATTTGAACTTTTTCTTTTCTTTAATTGATTGGCTCGGAGTTCTTTAAAATCGAAAACTTGTTTTCTATAATTTGATCACTTTTCTGTCGCACTAACAATTTGTTCTCGCTGGCTTATTTGTGGATTTTGCATCCGCGTATGGCGGTCCGTGAATCGATTCTGAAGCCGTTGCTTGTTTATTTTCTGGTTTTTATAGAGGAACTCGTATGCTCGCGTCTTCCTAATGTCATGATGATGAGTGTTCTGTTGCGGTTCGATTTGAAAGTTCAAGATGTGCTCGTGTCTTATCCAGATGGGCCATACTTTTGGAGCACTGAACTTTCGATTTTTGGCCAAAGACAGGCAAGGTCACGGGCCCAAAATAGCCGGAAGCAATAAGTTGGGATTTGGTAAGCTTCGGTTCATTACAGTTACCATACCGTCTAAATACGCATTTATTGAGTTCATTAATTCGTCAAGAGATCATCATTGTGGTCGCCGCCAGAAGCCAGGTCACTCAACGTCCAAACTCATCACCATCTGATATATTTATTTGATCGCTTGACTTTGCTTTCGGCTCGGTTCGGTTCGGTTCGCTTTTGTGTGTAATTATAACACTTGGCCAAAGCTTTGGGCACTTCCGCCTGCAGTTTTTCGATTGGGAGTTCGGCAGACGAACAAATGAGCCGCCTCTCGCATATTTCCGGTGGTGTTGGTGTTGATCCAACGCAGAACTAGTTTGTCCGAAATAATTTACATTTAAAATTTGTGCGACCACTGGTGGCTTAATGACTCCTCCTCTGCTTAATGCCACTTCTCTAGTCGAGTTCTAAATCATTTCAGTATATTTATTAGTCAGGTCCAGGCACCGCCATCATCAGTAACTCAAAGGGCATTCAACTTCTCCATCAAATTAATTCACTATCTCTGCTCTGCGATCGCATTAACTTAAAGTCTTATTCACATTCGTATAAGGAGAGATCTATTTGGTTTTTGGATTGTTCGGCTCAAGGCATGGTTTTGTTATTGTCACGATTTCTGCGGGATTATTTGCATCTGAAAACCCTGCGTCTGGCCTTAACCATGAACATGAAATCTTAAATCTCGTCTATGGGAACGGAACTGCGGATTGCACAGAAATAAATTTTGAAGATCGATACGATGATTTTTAAATCAACATAGCAATTGATCTAAAAAGTTTCAGTGATATATTATTGCGAGATATAAACCAGATTGTATATAAATTGATTGTATTATTAGAAACACCTTATATTCCATTAATACATAGTTGTAGATCTTCAAAGAATTAGGAACATAACCTGCTTATTATCAAATAGATATTTGGTAGATGTTTAAGTCAAAACATATTCCGTTTTAAATAAATATTTTGATTTTAATTTTTTGGGACCGAATTCCCCTCTAGTTATGATAAACTTTTTATTCTAACTTTGAACTGAAAGTTTTTTGAAGGTTGACCAACAAAAATAATATAATTATATTAGCTCGACCAGAGAAAATCTCATTTTTAAATAAACTTAACATATTTGTAGCTGTGTATATGATTTCTTAATAGAGTGTTTATTGGCTTGTGGAGTGGTGGATCTTGTTGCGCTCGCACAGTAATCAAAATAATCAGAATATTGCCTAACAAACTATGCCAAATTGCACAAAGTTAAATTGCCCTGCCACATGACAAAAAGCCAGATTGTTGGGGCAGGTCCAGGCAAAAACTTTCCCAGCAAATCCCAATTCGTTTGTGCATAATTGTTTGGAATTTCGTTAATTCGTAAACAGTTTTATGCTACATTACATTTCGTCATCGGAATTCGAACGAAAGACAGGAGACAGCCGTCAGGCGGGGAAAAAAGCCCCAGAATTCAACAAAGTTTGGCCCTTTATATTTGCCAACATGCTAATGACATAATGCATACTTGAAACGGGCTTCCCCTTTAACTTTTACCCCTAAAGAGGAACGACCAGCCGACTGACTTACTGACTGGGAACGGCTTCACTTGCTCCCTTCATCCATTTTGTAGGGAACTTTGCGTGTTCAAGCCTTGTAACACTAAAAAAAGCAAGGAAATGTTTTTTAAAGGTTTCTCAAATAGCAGACTTGAGGATATCCTAATTTTAGAAGGAGAGGTTTATTTATTTTAAGCTTAAAAAAATGCAATAAATAACATGTATATAACTTTGAATTGTTGAGAAATAAAAAAAAGTATCATCAAATTAATTAGGTATTTAAACTTTTGGGACAATTTAATTAATTAAATAATTCGGAATATTATTCCAAAACTATTTTTAATATACGAAATTTTTTTATGGTTTTTATACATTTTAAAAAATAACTAACAAACTAAGTCCGAAAACTACGAAAATAGTAAAACTCTAGTTGAGAATACCAACTTTTTTAGTAAAAGAGTACACCACTGAGAAAGGAGTAACAATGTATTATGTAGACATAGCTAGACGTAAATATATGGCAGTCACTGTGTCAGGAAGTTGACTAAAAGACCGTTAAATGAAAATCAACACGAACATGGTTCCTGTATAAATCAACTGGTTGCGTTGCTCCGCTATATGCCATACATATTTATACCAATTTATATGGATTCGGTTAAGGATACGGCTCTACAGTTGTATGAATTTATGTATGTGGCTCTACACCGACCTGCCGCGCACTTTTGACTTTTGCGTTGACATGACATTTGCCAGGCCATAAGAAATATATTACACTAGGCAACAAGTAGGCGGAAAAGTTAAAAGATATGTATTTTTATGGGCATCATAAGGCGGAACATTTGTTTGGTCAGTTGAAATGCACATCATAGACAAATCAAAGCGATAAAATTGAGTAGTAAATAATAAAGTGATCAACTCGTAAACTAAAATAAGCTTAAATTAATTGCAATGAGACCCCTTATTTTATAATCGCTATGATGATTAAGTACGTTTCCAGCAATTATTCTTTGCACATTTCCTAAAAATCTCAATGTGAAGAAAAAATATTTTATAAAGGAATCTAAGAAAATAATATTTTTATCAATCATTATTTATAATATATTATATATCCGAAAATCCTCTCTTAATATGGGTACATATGGAAATAAACTATCTTATTATACATTTATCTGATTTTTTCCGTATGCTTAACTTAATGTAGCAAAGTGTAATCAGGAAGCCCAGATCCACAAATGAACTTCGCTGTAAAACGCTTAACCGGAGAAGGACTAAAACTGCTCCTCCTCCAGGTCCTTGCTCGTTTCCCAGGCTGCACGCCAGCTCCGAGAGTTCCTGTTTATTTGCATTGGAAGGTGCCTTCTGCGCTTTTGGACGCCCACGCCGTTGCTCCTTTTCCCGCAGCTCCTGCTCCTGATTTTGCTTCTGCTCCACGCCCACCAGTCAAGCTACCCCGTCCTCCTGTCTGACATTTAGCATATTTGCGTTTTGTGGCAGCTGCAGCCGGGCTGGGGATTCCGAGCCGGAATCCAAATCCAATTCCGCATTACATGCTACCGTGCCCAACTTATTAAACGTTGTCGCTGTCCCATTTACCCACTGCGAAATCCACACTCAAAACAAAATTTATAAATTAACTATAACAATATGCGATAAATTCAAATTGTAATCTCGGATTTGTTTAAGCTTTAACTATTATTGATTATTATTATTTTTTTGTTTTGTTCAACACGCCACACAAGGATGGACCTTTTCGTGTATTGTCAAATTATTTTTAAAGATCCCAAAAAAAGTGGGTATCGTGTGAAATTGATTAATAACAACAGATTATTTGACTTTAGTTATATTGAATGACTGAATTTAAATGAAGTATTAAAGAAGTAGGAAGATTTAATTAAGAAATACAATTTTTTTATTTTGCTTCTATTTTCAAATACAATTTATAGTTTCAACTCAAAAATCTCTTGAGTATATTGTTTCCATAAGAAAAGAGACCTATTTCTTTTTTAAGGAACTGTTCCAAATATTATTAATAATATATCTTAAAATTGAATTCTAATTAAGTTCGAATTATTTGAAGTGCATCAACAGGAACAAATGGAGGGAAGTTGGACTTTCCGCGGGAGTACGATTGTTGCCATTCAGGGGTACAAAACCCCGGCGGCGGCTGTTTAAGGCCCGCACAATGGAAGACAAACCCAAGCAGGGCACACGGGTCGCTTTGCTCGTGGTCGAGCGGCTTCACCTGAACATCAAGTGCCAGGTGAGAATCCCACCCAGCAGGCTAGTAAACTTCCGCACAGGTGTCAGATCCAACAGCAATCTCAGTTTCCATTCGAATTCCATCCACACGATAGGCAAATCCCTAAAATTCTGTAGTGATATATTGTTTTTTTCTTTTTTTTCCCCTTTTAAAAATCATTTGTTTGGTTTACGATGGCCGCCAAATCCAAACGTAATACTCAGACGGCTAACGAACGGAACCGGGATACACCCATTACGCCGCTGCGCCGATTGGTAATACCGCGCCCGGACATCCTCCACTCCTATCTGGAGTATAAGCAAGTTAACCAGTATCTGGAGTATCTGGCCCAGAGGTATCCCCACTTTGTGCACATGTATACGCTGGGCCAAACGCACGAGAAGCGTGAAATTCGAGCTTTGGAGATAAACTGGATGAACTCGGAAAACTCAGAATTATCCTCGCAGATGCGTGAGCATTCGCCACCGCCTTTTGTTGCCCAAGGACGATTCAAAGCTCCGGTGGTCCACACGGGCGAACACTGCCGGAAGACGGTCTTCATCGAGGCGGGAACCCATGCCCGCGAGTGGATCAGCATCTCCACGGCCCTCAATTGCATCTACCAGCTGACGGAGCGCTACACCAGGAATATAGAGGTCCTGCGAAAGCTGCGCTTCATCATTGTGCCGTTGGTCAACCCCGATGGATACGAATACTCCCGCACCAAGGTAATCTTAAAAAGCAACTGGCTACGATAGAGTGCACATCCATTACCAATCTGCTTTTAATTCTATATTATATTTAATGAGTAGTAAACTTGTTCTTTTTTTAAATCTAATAAATTTGGAGCTTTTACAAGAACGGCAATTGCGAAAAAATGTTAAAATTTATAATTTTCTTCAATAATTATTAAAGGTCCTGGCATTGCTTTGGAACCGCATTGAACACCAATTTTAGCCTAGCACGCAAATACTCTAAATTATACCCATCTAGTAGATCTTCGTTCTGATATTGTGGCTGTAAACGATACAGCGACAAATTTAAAAACAAATTAAATATGAAGAACTAAATTAAGGGTTACAAACAAAAACTAATCCACTTAATCATCTGCAGAATGTTAATTGGCGCAAGAACAGACGACCTCACAAATCTAGCAAATTTGTGGGCACCGACTGCAACCGGAACTACGACATCTTCTGGAACAGCGGACCCAGTAAGATAAACCGGAATACGTATAAGGGAGAACGTGCCTTTTCCGAACCGGAGACGCGGGCCATAAGGAATATACTGGACCGGATGAGTTCCAACCTGCTGTTCTTCCTGTCGCTGCACTCTTACGGCCAAAGCATTATGTACCCGTGGGGCTACTGCCGTGAGACTCCGCTCTACTGGCGGGAGTTGAGCTCCCTGGCCAATTCCGGAAAGAGTGCCATTAAATCTTACAACGGTCGGGAGTACCGGACGGGGAGCATCAGCTGTCTGACCAAGCGCACCATAGCCGGATCAGTTGTGGACTACGTGTACGGAGTGCTAAGGGTGCCAATGGCTTTGGTGATGGAGTTGCCTTCGCGAGAACTAGGCTTCCAACCGCCCGTTGAGATGGTCAGTCAAATCGGTCACGAGAGCTGGTATGGCATCCGGGAGATGTGCAAGCGCTCCTATGACCTGCGACTCCAGATCAAGCGAGAGAATGAGCCGCCATTGCCCCGCCCGGCTCACTACGAGTCACCACAGCCTAGTAATGAAGCCATGACAACCGAAACTCCGACTCCTGAGGAGTCGGCGGCTGGAGGCGATTGTCCCAAGACCTTGCCCAAAAAGAAAAAGCGGGTGAAGGCCTCGGTCCTGGCGCAACACGAAGCCATCCTCCGCCTTCATAAAGGTTCCAAGGCAAATGGACCACAGGTCCTGCCAGAGGGACTCCAAGCCCTGCCCGCTGGTCTGTTTCCCAGGCAATTGGCCCCAAAATATCCACCAATGAAGCGATCCGGCCTTAGTCGTGATGGTCGAGGCGGAGGCGATGGGGTGATCCTTACCAGCCGTGGCAAGCCTCCCATCTCATCAACCATGCCGCTGGGAGTGTTCCTTTAAACTAAAAGTTGTCCGTTTGTGATTATAAGTTTACATTTAAAATTAATGTATTTTAAATTAAATGTGTAAGCCCATTAGCAGGGAGCATTTCCAATAAACTGCTAGTTTAATTTATCCCACAGATTTGTCAGTTTTAAAAAGTTTGTAAATTTCATTCAATTTTGTAAGTTTCGGAAATATTTGCGCTTTCTACACATTTTACATGGTAGGCTTACGATGGCAAAGAAATGATTTGGTTTCTGGGCAAAATTACATTTGTATTGTAAATCATACGTGAATTCTCGCAAAACACAATCTTTTTGATTCGCGAGTGTGCTTATCGACTAATACAACAAATCCATTATTGTTGAGAGCGTTACTTATCATCGAAGGTGGGTACCCTAGGCGCAGCGTATTTTAGGCGCAGTTTGTCGTATACCTTTCGATCCTGTAAAGTAAATAATTTCAAAATTATCATGTGTAAAAGAGACATATTAAAAACGTTTATTACCTGTTCGTTAACTGAGGGTCGCAACTGCTGCAAAGCCTCTTTGAAATGCTGGCTACGAACGCACAGATTGTCAAGTTTCGTTTCGCCTTCGTTTAGGGATTGACGCAGGGAGAACATCGAGGCCTGCTTAACCAGTCCTGCCAAATCTGCACCAGTATAGCCTTCAGTTTGGGCAGCAATCTCATCCAGATCTACATCATCAGCCAACACAGGACGCTTTCCGTTCTAAAAAAAAAAGGAAAAATAACCATTACTAATATATAATTACTGATTTGAAGCAGACGTCAATCTTTCTACCTTTGTGGTGGCCTTAAGAATTTCTGCACGCTCGCCTTGCTCCGGAAGACCCACGTACAAAATGGTGTCTAAGCGACCCGGTCGCAGGATGGCGGGATCTATAATGTCCGGTCTGTTAGTCGCCGCCAGGATGTATACACCCTTGCGCTCCTCCACACCATCCATTTCGGTAAGGAGCTGATTGACTATACGGGTTCCGGAATTGTTGCCATCGCCACCATCCGATCGCTTCGGACACAGTGAGTCGAACTCGTCGAAGAAGATGACGCAAGGGGCAGAGTTACGGGCACGTTGAAAACAAGCCCGCACAGCACGCTCGCTCTCGCCAACATACTGAAAAATAACCCTATAGTTAGTAAAGAAAGCATAAAACACAATCCCAATTAACTCACCATATTCATTAGTTCTGGACCTTTTACTGATATAAAATTAATGCCAGCTTCATTGGCAATAGCCTTGGCAAGGAGAGTTTTGCCGCAACCGGGCGGACCGCACAGCAGAACCCCAGAGGGAGCATTCAACCCAAGACGTTCAAGCATCTCCGGATACTTAACTGGTGCGAGGACAGCCAGCTTAAGCTCATCGCGAATGTTTTGCAGGGCTCCAATGTCGTCCCAAGTGGTGTCCGGAACTGTGACAAAGCCCTCGCGCTTGGCCGAAGGCTGCATGACCTTAATGGCGTCCACGAAATCGATGAGAGTGAGGCAGAAGTTCGGGTCGGCGAACTCCTCGGGCGGATTGTCCAAAAAGTTGGTCAACTCGGCCAGAGTAGGCTCGTAGTATTCGTCGTTCGAAGAGTCCGCTTCCTGTTCTACAGGTTTTTCCGTCGTTTCGACGACCTCTTCATCCACCTCCATGGCGGCTACCTTTGGCTTCTCAGGTGATTTGCCGTTGGTCGTTTTCTTAGGAGTTTCAGTTTTGGGTTTCTCGCCTTCGGATGGCGCATTATCGGTTGATTCCTTGTCCCCATCCTCCTTTGTGTCTGACTCCTCTTTCTTTTCAGCTTCCTTTTCACCTTCCTTTTCAGTTTCCTTTTCAGCTTTTGGATCAACCTCCGATTCTTTTTCAGCCTTGTCACCAGGCTCCTCACTGGGCTCATCGTCATCCAAAGTGACTGTAGTCATATTCTTTTCGCTGGCAGCATGCAGCTCACGGAACTTTTTCATGGACCTACGCTTAACAGCGACGGCTGCTGCCCGACAGACGAGAGCCATCAGATCGGCACCCACATATCCAGGTGTTAGCTCTGCAATCTTATCATAATTAAGCTTGGGATCAATTGACAAACCCTCGCACTGAATGCGCAAGATCTCACGTCGCTCCTTGCGTGAGGGTATATGTATGGCAATTTCGTGATCAAAGCGACCGATGCGACGTAGACCCGGATCCAGAACATCGGGACGCGTGGTAGCCCCAATGACCACTACGGACTGGCCAAACTCGTTGGCCTTTAGGTTATCCAAGCTGCTGATCAGCTGCGACACAATACGACGCTCCATATCCTTGGCAGCCCACTGACGATTGCCACCGATGGCGTCAATCTCGTCGATGAACAGCACGCAGGGCGAGAAGCCCATGGCCTGCTCGAAGACCTCTCGAATGCGTTCCTCCGACTCACCAGAGATGCCGCCAATTAGCTCGGTGGCCGGAATTTCCAGCAACGGCATCTTCAGTTGCTGTAGGGATATAAAAAAAATTTGTCATGAACAAAGCAACATAATTTTTGTAAAAAAAAAATAACATACCCCACTTATGGCACGGGCTAGAAAGGTTTTGCCACATCCTGGCGGACCGTGCAGCAATAGACCCCTTGAGGGCAGTAGACCCAATTGAAAATAGAACTCCGGCGACTTAATGTGGATTAGCATCTCACATAGCTCCTTCAGGGTGCTATCCATGCCCCCAATATCCCTGAAACTCTCGGTGGTATGTTGCACCTCCAGCTCCTTCTTGTATTTCCGCGGGCGGTCCCGATTTGCGTTCGCCTGCAGCTGCTGGTACAATCCGGCCGCATTGCGAGGATCCTTTCGTTGACCGGCGTCCTCAGAGTGGTTTTTACCTCTGGGTCCCATACCTATATGATCTGGATAGAGTTTTTAGTAATTTTCAATGAGTTATGCATACAATTACTCACATTTGTTGGATGATTCTGGACCAGAGCCTGGAATAGTATTCGGTTTAGCTGCTAATAGAGACAAGAATTATATAACTATAATAAAACCCAACTTTAATCGCCGTAACTCACATTTCTTTGGAACCGCCGTGGTCTCTGGCAGATCGTCCATCAGCCGTTTCAAGGCGTTGGGCTGAATTATCGGAGGAACAGGAGCTTGACCGTCTCCGTTGGTGGTGTTGGTATTGGAGTCATCGTCATTTTCGTCTCCACTTGATATATCGATGGGTTCGCTGATTGGCTTGGCAGCCAGTGGTTTCCTTGGTGCGTTATACAGGCTGTTCATCATGTTATTCATTACACTGTTGGTGGGTGGTGCCTCCAATTCCTCGCTGATGCACTCGTCGTCCGAGCTGCTTACCTTGTCTAAGTTGTAGCTATCCGAGATGATGGAAAATGCTAAAGCGGAATTTATATTTTAATGAGATATGTTACATGGATTCACACCGAAAGGTTCATTGATTGGCCCTGAACAGAAGGTCCGTTTTTATATTAATTAGGTTAGATTTTAAAAAGCCGACTGAAACTTATTATTTATTCTCGATCGAATTTGACTATACCGTACAGCTGGTATAAAAACAGCATCTCTTAAAAAAAATCAATTTAATCAAAATAAAATTACTGTGGTATAACGGTTTAAAAGAATCTCAATATTTTAGAAAATTATCAAAGTTATGGCATACTTATCAATGGCTTAAGGAAAGACGACTTAAAAAGAAAACTAGAACATTCTATAAACATAAAAACAAGGTCACTGTTAGAAAAATTCCACTTTATCAAGTAATATAAAAAAAGGTCTTGTTTTTTCCTAACCTGTATATAACACAGGATTTAATACGTAAACCTAATAGGGGTTTCCAAACCCGACAGTGTCCATTGTTTACCTTGGTGCACCAACTGCCTGAATGGACCGAATTTGCGACGCGAGTATTCCGGATACTTTTGCATCAACTCCCGGGTCATCTGCTTTACATCCAGATAGGTTTCACCAATGTGCTCTTCGAGGTACTGGAATCAAAATCAAAACGACAATTATCACGATGCTGGCAGCCTGCGACTTAACCTTGTTTTTTCCTTGCCCAAATTCGCCGCCCTTGCGAAGGGTTTTTTTTTGTTTTTTCATGGGAATTTGCCGGCTTTCGGGCAGCTGGCAGAAGCAAGTTTGGTAGGAAAAACTACGTATTTGCACTCACCTTCTTTACTCGGATCGTTATCAGATGGTCGTGCAGCAGCGGCTTGGTTTTCTTCATATTATTCGAGGATTAAATCAGTATAGACATTCGCTCGGGAACTATAAATTCACTTAGCCTCTCGCAAACTGCAAGCGACGCTGTCGCCTCGATATGTTCGCTTCGCGAAACGTTTCCACTCCTCGCTTTTTCGATTGCGACTCGAATTAATCGAAAATGATTAATAGTTGCCTCTCGAGATTTTAGAAATGATTTCGGATACTTTGATAATTAGAGCCATCTGCTACTTTATACATAAAACAACTTTAAGCTTAATATATTTTATTTTTTTAAATTTTCCACTACGTTTTTTGCTGTAGCTGCAGAAAAGCATTTGAAATTTAAAAAAAATATATTTCCTTTTGTCTGCTTACACAAATTTGGCTTAATCTCTAGCAAAATAAATAGGTATAAATTGAATTGCACTCAAACTTTCCTGACTTGATCTTCCCCCATTTAAGCAGTATTAAAAAGGCATTGCTTATAATTTAATTTATTTAAAGATATTTTTAATATAAAAGTACTGTTTACCATTTTCTCTGTTTCTTAATTCAATTATAGCAGAGAAAGAGTCTTGTTTTCAGAAAAAATAATTAAACCGTTAATCAGTTAACTAAATTTATTTATCTAAACATTTGTAATTTTTAACTTTATTTAATAAAAATAGACTTTTGATCTTAGTTATTTTCGAAAATCATTAAATTTTAAGTTTAAACAAATAGTCAGTGTGAACATTGCTATTAATCCGCTCCAAATGTATCGAGCGTGCCCGCCCGCTTTCAATACATCGGCGATAACCCAAAATCAGCTGTTCGCAGTTGTTATCTCGCTCCCGCCCGCTGCAACACCGCTCGCTCTGCTCTGCTCTCACTCTCTCACGGAACAATCTGAGTAGTCGCTGGATTTTACAAGTAACCAAATTAAATGTGCTTTTACATCAACAAACGCTGGACGCGCAATTAGAGAGGTGTTAATTATGCGTCGCAGCAGCAGCCAGCAGTGAAATAATGATGCACTCCATCTGAGTTTGGCAGCACAGTTGTTGGATTGAATATATCGCAAAATCGGTAAAAATAAAATCGTCAGAAGAAGAACATCGAACCGAACGGAAAAAAGAAAGCGCGATGTGCGACGGTGAAATTGGCGATCCGGTGACTCAGCCACGTTCAGAAGGCGGTGGATTGTCGTCAGAGCCCCGAGCCCAGTTCCTCGATCCGGCTGAGAAGCACCTGACCAATGGATCATCCGATCCGGAGCCTGTAGATCCCCTTTTGGTGGCCCAGTGGTCAGTGGAGGATGTGACCAACTGGGCCAGCTATACAGAGAAACTCTCGAAGGTTCTTCTAGACTGCCTGCGCCAGGAGGCCATCGATGGCGAGGTCCTTCTCTCCCTCACAGAGGAAGATGTCAGGGATATGCGCTATCGCCTAGGCTACAAACTCACCTTTGGGGAGCTCAAGAAGTTCTGGGTAGCAGTCCTTAAACTACAACTCCTGGTCAAAAACAGCTCCGCGGAATCCGTAATGCTAGGCATCGGAAACTCGGTTTACATGCCACTGGTAACCACCGGTGGACCACCCTCTACATCCACGTGCCCCTGCCCGCAGCCCGAGTGCCCCAGCTATGTGTCTGATTGCGATACCTATTTGCGCATGGGCGGACGCTATGTTCCGCCGGAATACTTCAAGACCGCCATGAGCTTAGGTGAGTCCACATATCCCACACCTGCCCCCCTTCAATTACGAAGGTCAATTGTTCATTGATTGTTTCTCTGGGCTTATCGGTCGTGTGCCAATTGTCGAGAGCTTTTCGCTATAAAACGCAATTCATCAGCCATAAACTTGCTCGCGATAACCGAGAAATAAGAGGTTTCCCCATGGAAATGCCTTTCATACATAGGATGATTAATAGCATATACATATGCAATCTATCAGATTTTTATGTTTGTATGTACAGCTGAAGTTTTATATAGCTGATTAGCAGCTTTCAATGATTTTATTCAACGTCACTCTTTAAATATAGTTTATAAACTTGAGATAAAAATAATACAATACCAGATGTTTGCATTTTCTGTAGCCTCTTTAAAGGCAATGTGTTTCTGTTTATAATATTTTATATATTCCAGATCTAATTCATGGTCATTAGGACTTTATGTAAACGTCGTATTGCAGGTTAATTAGCTTTTTTCTTAATTAGAATTCTTTAGTACCAGCAAAAATAAACTCTCAAATTAATTATATAGTTTGTGAAGGTTCATTTGGCTGTTTCCAACCAATCCAATCACTTCCTAAGTGATAACCCAAAAATAATAAGTTCCTCCAAAAGTTCAATGTCGCGCACGCTATAAATACCTGATTAAATAAATCAGTATAATTCAAGAATAGTTTCTAATTATTTTTTCGTTTTGGTTCAGAATTTCTCCCAATACTTTTCTATTGACAAACCAGAAATAAAAAGCTTTCTCTTCGAGTTCAATGGTTCACAACCCATATGCTATTCCTAAATACGTCACTCTAGCTTTAGTTATAGTTTTTGGGCGTTCGTGACGCCTTAATATTATTTATTTTGAGCATTTTGGAGGTTACGTGTGGGGACGCCGCTCGCATTTATTTATGTACTCATGGAGGGGTAATTCGCCCCTCGTTCTGGCCTGGCTTTTTGTTTTCATTATTTGTGCGAACTTGTGTGGCTTTTGTGTAACTTTGCGTGCATTAAATTTCAAATTCCGATTTGTTTATGATACCCTTCAAACGGCTGACTTACTTTACGGGGAAATCTGCAACAGTTTAGCGGCAAACGAAAGCATAAACACAGTTGTCAATCGTATTTCCACTTTTATTAACCAAGTATAACTTTCGATTAAGTACTTGAGTACCTAATTCTTGCTTTTAGTTGTTTGTTTAAAAATGAAGAACCTTTTTCATTAAAAAACTGAGTCTTCAAACAATGTTTTCCATAAGGGAATTATATTAAATACTAAAATGAGCGAAGCCTAAACATAACAATGGACTTATCTAGGATAATTTCGTATCAGCGCCATTATTTTTCGATAATGCATATTGATTACAGGCTGTGTTTGTTTTCCTTTGTCATGGCCATTTTAATAGATAAGTCTTAATTTTGGCTGATAAAGCCACTCATAGATTATTCCTCGCTTAGGTTGTGAATATTAACTTTTATCGCTTTTGAAATGGGGCCAAATTAGTCAAAAATTAAAATATAAATGCTGATTATATTGGTCATAAAGGGATGAGCTTTATATACTGTAATTTTATTACAAACAGAGATGATTATCAGCGAATCGCAAAGTGTACATATTTGTGCCCAGTTCTCTCGCTTTAGTCATCTTCAAAATGTTTGTAAAGTGGGAACTATTTTTTTTTAATAATTCTTTGTCCATTTAATATTATATATTGGGCTATGCTTACTGAAAATATTACATTCATTAAGAGGACTACATCAATCTATACATTTATAACTTAAGCATCAGCTGCAAAACATGAATATTTAAATATTTATTTTATTTATAATACAATATTTATATATTTTTAATTTGTATGTGTGAAGTTAGGCATGTGTATATTTGATTTCGACAAAGATTACTCATTTCGTTATTTAATAACCTTTGAAGATAAAAATACAATTTCATCGAGATTTAAAAATTAGTTAGTTAATTAGTTCTTGAACTATAAAAGAAATTCTTGATTTCACACATATTTTTTCCATGTGCAGGTGTAATAAGTTAGTCACAGTTTCGATCCGCATAGTAACAAAGTTTTTTCTTACCACTTAACAGGCTACTCATTTGTGGTCACCTGGATAACTTCGCTAACGATGGTTATCGTTCACGAGCGGGTTCCGGACATGAAGCGCTATCCTCCGCTGCCGGACATCTTCCTGGACAACGTGCCGCACATTCCGTGGGCCTTCAACATGTGCGAAATAACCGGCTCGCTGCTGTTCACCATTTGGGTAATTGTGCTGATATTCCACAAGTACCGATTAGTTCTCCTGAGGCGATTCTTCGCATTGGCCGGTACGGTTTTCCTGCTGCGCTGCGTAACCATGCTGATCACCTCGCTAAGCGTCCCTGGAACGCATTTGCAGTGCAGCCAAAAGGACTTTGCCATCGATGATCCAAACGTGGACATGGTGGGAGCGTTGATCATCCGGATGACGCGGGCGTATCGCATCTGGAGCGGCTTGGGGATGTCCATTCAAGGCGTCCGCACCTGTGGAGATTACATGTTCAGTGGTCACACGGTGGCCTTGACCCTGCTGAACTTCTTTATTACGGAGTGTGAGTTTAGGGTTTTTTTCATGATTCCTACAGCCTTCTGACCTATTTTGATCCTGCAGACACTCCGCGGAATCTGTACTTCCTGCACACGCTTACCTGGCTACTCAACATGTTCGGCATCTTCTTTATCCTGGCTGCCCACGAGCACTACTCCATCGATGTGTTTGTGGCCTTCTATATCACCTCCCGCCTTTTTCTGTACTATCATACTTTGGCAAATAACAGGGTAAGTAGTTGAATGAAATTAAACTAAATTATTATTGGCCTAGGTTTTAGAACACTTGATCGGAATTAGAGATCTTTTCTCTATTCACCAGTTAAGGATTCTGCTTGCTGATTATTTTGTAATTTGTAAAACCGATCTTACATTTCTATTTATTATCGAGATACCATATTATAGAGTTTATCAGTTAATGCATTTGCTTGCGAAAATCTTTTAAATTCTGAAAGTTTCTTTCATATTTAAATTGTCCATTAATATGCCCTATAATTTATTTGCCAATCAAAACGAAATCTTGGTAACCACATTTGAAAAGAAAAAATAACCTTATAAAGATACCAACTTATTGATTCCCTTTTTCACAGGCCCTCATGCAAAGCGACTCCAAGAGGACGCGTGTTTGGTTTCCCATGTTCAGCTACTTTGAGAGCAGCGTCGATGGTATGGTGCCCAATGAATATGACACACTGGGTTCCCTTATCGATGGAATTTTTGATCAGATCCTTAAGGCCAAGGATCAACTGTCCGTTACAGTAAAGCGCTGCTGGGTGGATACCCGGCTGTCCGACAACTCAACGGATCGTATCTTTGGCTCCGATTCGGATCAATGTCTGCACAATGGAACGGTTACATCCGCCTTCTTCAGTCCTCACCAGTCGGTGGTTGGAGGATTGAGTCACCACAGCAGTAAGACGCATTTGAATAGTGCTCAATCCACGGCTGCCACGTCATCTATTGCTTCTACGTCTGGTTCTCCGCCGGCGAACAGCTTGCAGCCACACAAGAAGACCTTCAAGGACGCCAGTGTGGACCCATTCTCTAGAATGACGTTTGTTGCGACCCAGGAACCATCCAAGAATACGCCGCTGAAGGAAAAGAAGCAGCTCTGATTCCCACAGCCATTCGCTCTTCCAAATATGTTTATCGATGCTGTTCTTCGAAAAGCAAACATGCAGAAATCAACCATACCGACTGATATTTTTATTTCGAAATTTCCATTTTACCCTCTCCTTTTACAGCTGTTTCTCCTTGTATTATTGTTTGAATTCTACCATTCGTAGTGCCTTCCGGGTCGTATTCCCCCATCTAAACAACGTTGTGTCCCACAGAGCCCTTCCTTAGTTTTTATGTGGAATTTTAAAATAGAAGTTTTCTTAGCCGGGAGACGCTCCGCCACGGCTGCTATTTGATAATGATGATAAGATAACCCTCCTCATTCCGTTCAATTGAGTTTTGAACTAAATGTATTTATTATTGAAGACTTTTAATGCATTATTATGTAATTGTAAGAATGTGAAACAAGCGTATTTTTAGTTAATTAGTGATAAGTTTGGAAAGTTTCTGTTGAACGCACAAAAATCAATAAATCAAAATGAATATTCTCAAAATCTGGAGAAACCACTGAAAAGATTTTTTTATTCATAAATGGAAAGTTTGGCAGCTAATTTATTTTAATCCGGTTTATCAGGTATTTTTGTTTAAACTTTTTTTCCGCATCTGAAAAAAGAAACCCATTCTTAAATTGTCTATTAATCTTAACAAAATTTAGCAATTATCTTTGTTCAAAGCTTACTTTTACCATCAGCTTACTTTTAGATCAACCTGAACCAATTACGCTTTATTAAGAAATTTTGGGTGGGTTATAAATAATAATGGAAATTACAAACGGATGAAAATTAAAAATCATTTCACAAACAGAATTAAAAGCTTTAAAATGAAAAGACCAGCGGGCTTACAATTCATCATTTTATTTTTGTTTGTTTTAATATAAAAATGGCATTTCTTTACTAATTTTAAGTTTAAATTACTAATATAAAGTATGTATGATTGCGGTAATTGAAAAATATATATATATCATATATTCTTGTATATATTCTTCAAGATGTGAAAAACATATTTGTAATGAACATGAAACGTCTTCTGTCAAGCGTATATTATTTGAAAGCGTTCAATTTGACTTAATGAATAACTTTTTTTGTTTGTTTTTTTTATTTCGGTATTCATTTTTCGTATTTTATAAAGCAAATCGAAACTTTTCAGTTATTTTGTGTGTTTACATTACTTTGCCATAATTCGCATCAAAGGAAGAAACAATTAACAAACGATACTTGAGAAAATAGATTAAGTCAAGCGTTCGTTTCTCGCCTTAGTACAACTAATATGCAAAAATAAACTATGAAAAGTGTTCTTCATGAGTAGTGAGTTTTCTTTGTTGATTTAATGTTCGCTCCCTTCGCACAGGGCATTCCCCTCATAAATTACTATTTCAAAAAACAATATAGTTTGATACGTTTTACATCATATCTTATATGCTACATGTACCTATCATTATATTTACCAATTCTGTCGGTCTGCTATGTACGAAGCTACGTTTGAGGTTTCATTGAATCGTTCTCTCTACGAATGCACCATATGTCTGCAGTGGCTGTGTGCTTATAGTTCTTCATATCAGATATTTGTCATTTTATTTAGAATTTTCGTTATGTGAAAAACATAAATTTAACAAGATTTGTTGGTTTCTTTCTTTTGTTTGTTTCTGCTTGCTGTTAAATAATTCATCCCTTTGCTGCTAACCGATACAATATATATGTAAGTCTAGGCATAAACTATAACTGATTTCTTCGCGTGTATTTCAAAATATATTAAACACGATGTATGTAGTTTCTTTTTTTTTGTGTTTTTTTTTTTAGTTTTATGTTGGTTTGTTTTGCATTTGCTTTAGTTTCCTTATTTGTTGTTTGTTTTTAGTTTAAATGAGGGCTGTTGTTGTCGCGGTAGATCTACCGTCACATAAGATCGTAGTGCAATTATTAATTTCTGTTTTTCGAGGCTTGAGCTCCCCACACAGCCTTACGACAGGTCTAAAAAGATAAGATAATAAGCATATATCTCCAAGAGCATATAGATTTAAACTCACAGCTAGGCGCTGCCTCGTAGCGACGTTGTATCTGATCGTATGTGAACTTCACGAAGGCATCGTACTGCTCGGCTAGCTTGGTGGTCAGAACGGACTCGTAGCGCTCCTTAAGCTGGTTCTCCCGCTCCTTGATCATGCTCTCGCAGATGAGCTGCACCTGCTTGAACGTGAACAGGGCCTTCTCGCCGTGGCGCATCAGGTTCGGTGGGCTGTCCGGGCGGCGCGGACTCTCCGGCCCCATCTCCGATCCGCTCGACTCCGAGTCCTGCATACGCTCCAAGGCCGACGAGGTGATCGGCAGCTGCTTGCGCTTGTGCAGTCTCTTGATTTCGTTGCACAAGTTCTCGGCCATTTTGTCTGCAATAAAAAAAAAAATATTTAAAGTTTCTGTGCTAGAGTCCCGGAAAGGATAACCTAAACGGATAAGTCCTTTGTTTTACTATTTGGAAGGCTAAAACAAATATTATTCGTTAATCATTGAAGGGGTTATAGGATGGTTATTGAAGGGGAGTATAAAACAATATAATATCAAAGGTATTACTTCTTAGAAATTGTATTAATAAGTTTATAAGCAAACCTCATTTGCAAATAAAATTGTGTCGTTAGGCAAATTAAGCTGTGTAATCCGAAAATTATTATTTATACAAATAGGCAAAACATGAAATATTGTATTAAGTAAGCCCTTAATTACAAGTTAAACGTAACAGTGCTTTTTCAAACAAATTTTATATAACGACAAGGCTTAAAAATTCTTCTAAAAGAAAATCATGTAGGAGAGAAAAATATGACCAAATATTATATAAATAAAATACGATTATAAGCAAGTGATTACTGATTTTACAGAATATTTAGATTTTTAACACTGACAAAAGTATAATATTCAAAATGCTAAAAAACGTACACAGATCAAATTTTTTTATCTCAACCAATTTTATATTGCAAAAAGCAGGCATATTAACGTAGTATATGTATTGCAAAGGAAAGGATTGCCTACAGGTAACCACAAAAGTAACCAAATCGAGAATCTCTTACCCGGTGACATTTTAGCAAGCGAGGCCTCGCTGAACGGACTTGGCTCAGTGTTGTCCTTGGCGAATCGGTTGCTGGGCGTGTGGGGCAGGCCCGCCGAGGTGCTGGGACCGTCGCGGGACGGAGACGATGGGTTGGCGGTGCTGCCGGCCTGGCCAAAAGGATTGCAGCGCCGGCGCTTCGGCGGACGCTGGTTCATCGACTCCCAGTCCAAAGCGCGTTTCAGGGTTGCACAGGCCATCGCTATGATTGAGGTTCTCCTTCTCGGGGCTCTTTTGACAGATAGAGGGCTACCTTGATTGTGGGTAGCTGATGATTATTGCCTCGGATGCTGGATGCTGCAAATGGTTGATGTAGCGTCGGCTGCAATGGACGAACAAACAATGAATGAGTAAAGTGAAGTGAACACCTTGCTGACAGAAAAAAGGCCACAAACTTGTTTTAAGGAAAAACAGGATTCACAGGCGTGTTACTCACGCACACGCAGCCAATAAAAGAAAATGGTGCACCGATTTATGGCTTGACAGTGCTGTCAATTTGGCCTTTTCTGTTAAACGCTTCCTTATCTTATCTTTTTTGCCCGTGATTTTCGAAATAATATAAAGGGGTAAGATAACTCGTTTTTTCAATGGTTCAAATACAGGGGCTTCATTTTAAAGATACTATGAAAATGCAAGGACTTGGTAAAAATAATGGGAAGTCAGATTTCTGTTTTTAATAAAAAGTTATACTATCTTAAAAGTAGACTTGATAAACAATACGAAAAAATAAGACATCAGGTTAGCTAGAAGCCCGTTCGTTTTGAAACGTGTTCCCAAAACAAAGAAAAACGAGCATAAATTAAGTCTTAAAATGCAGCTAAAAATCCTATTCAGCTATAATTACGGCCAGCCGATCTCTTTTCCAAGAAAACAATTTATAAAATTAAAACGTCAGTAAACGGCTATTAAGATACTAAGTTCGCCTAACTTTAATGACTCTGATGACGTTTAAGACAAGATATTCATGGCAAAAGAGAAGTGAAAAAATGTATGCGAACAAAAAATGGAAGTTACTGTACTGTTCTCATTTTCGCATTCGTCACTAACAATCTAAAATTCGTTAAATTCTTAAATAAGAAATTTTTGTGTCATTAACTGTTGTAAATAAAATTTTATTACTTTGGTTGGTAATAAAATAATACTTTTTCTGAAATTATTTTCTTGGATATAAACTCTATTTTAAAAAACTCGCGTTTGCTATATTTCGTTTAGTAAATTGGTTATATTAATTTGATTTAAGTCTAATGACGAAAATTCTAAGAAACATTTAATTGGTATTAAAATATTTTAATCCTTAAAATGAATTACTCTTCCTAATGCATTTTACTACCTCATTTGTGCCCTAGCGTTTTTTTGGCTAGCACCAACAACTCCGATGCCCTGCAAGCAGCTGCTTGAAAAGGGCGATACCGAATCGGAACCCGATTCCCACTCCGAATCCATTGAAACTTCGAACAGAAGGAAAAACAACCAAAGAAACAAAGTGGCGCAGCGCAATTAAATAAAAACCACCACGACAAAGACAACAGTAAATGCATAGCAATGCAGGACCACTAAAGGAGCAGAGAAAAGTGTAAATTGTAACCTAATAGCAGAACAACCACCTTTAAAAAGGAAACTACGCAGGATAATAAGCGTGTTCTTCTCTCTCTACTTCTTCTTCCTCCTCTTTCCACTCCTCTCCTTCTTCGCTGCAGCGGCAGCTGTACCAGCTGTTTTTCACACTAACACACGCACAATTCCATTTTGATTAACCGCAACACGAGTGTGTGTGAGATTACTGCTCTCTAAAAAATAATTTATACCTTTTTTTTAAATTGATGAATACGTTTTTGGTGTTTAACGTTTTACTCATTTAGTGAAATACCAGAGATTAGTTTAAAAAAAAATGCTAAACGAAACCGAAATGACAGCAGCTATTGCGATCAGACTAGTTGTCTCGCTCTCGCAGCACACAGGCACACGCAAGCACGCACACCGTTGTGAGTTGGAATGTTGATTTCATGAAATTTTAAAAATGGTCGAAACGCATATCATTATCAGCTTTCCAGAAGAAAAAATGCTTTACACACTTTTCACACCATCGCACTTACGTTTTGTTTAATTTTGGGTTATTTCCGCTCGCTTTTCGCTTTCTGCACCACTTCACACGCGCTTTATTTACTTTTTTATTGTGCCACTACTCCGCTGGCACATACGCACGCACATTCACGTACCAAACTCCAGTTAAGGTGGTTAATCTATATTTTTGGGTAGAAATAAGTATTGCTATTGCTTGCTGGTTGTTTGAGCAGTATTTCAAAGGCCACTAAAATGCACTGTCGGTAGGTGTTTGTCGTCTTCGACTCGCTTGCTGTTTAATTTACAAATTTTCGTCTCGGTTCTTGGCAAAAATGGACGACGATGCGTGCGTGACGACGTGAACAGTGTGACCGCAGCTGGAGCGTTTTAATAAACCACGCTGCTTACGAAAATATACCTACAAATACTTTTTAATCGTAAAGAAAATATACTACAAATCTACCGTTAAAATACCACTAAAAATATAATTTAATGATTTTAGTATTAGTATTTAAATAATTTAAGTTATCTATTTCAATTTAACAAAATGTTTTTAATATTAATAATATTTAATATTATGTTTCTAGTTACCGGTAACTTAATTTTAGATAAGACCTTGAATTTGGTTAACAATTTTCTTGTACGCAAAAAAGCGCTGAAAAACATTTTTATGAAAAAAGTAAATTAAATATAAATCACTTTTAACAGTATGCTTACATTGAGTATTTTTAAAAGGTTTACTTTAGTATATTTTCTGAGCGGAATGTATATTAGAGCCGTCGAATAGTGGTCACACTATTCGGTTCAACGACAAAGTAGGAAATAATTTCCACTCTTGATAAATATCAAATATTTTTGCACTTTTATAAGCGTCAAACAGCGCACTTTTTATCCGCGTCTTCGCAGTTTTTACAACCTATTAAATCAGAGACCTTGCCCAGTTCGTGTGTCTTCGTCACCAGTGAAAAACATTACGTAGGGGCGCAGGACCGAAGAAAGTGGGAAAAGGAAAGATCTATAAATATTTTTAATCGCCGTGAAAGTAGCCAGCGGATTTTAGTCGCAAAATATCATTAATAGACGCTGGGAAGACATAACTAACTGCAAAAATGGTCTTGAAAGTCTACGTCAGCGGCATGTCCGGCAATAAGGAGGTGAGTTCGTGGGCGTGGCGTTTTCAAACCAGAAGATAGTGTCATGTTATTGGAATGTTTGGCCCTGTTATTTGCAGCAAACATAAAAAAAACAACCAAAGTGGTGACGAACGCATTGCACATTCTATTTCTTCTGCTGCATTTTGTGTATATATTTATGTAGGTGTATGTAATGGTGACGATGTTGTGTGTGGTATATATGTTTGTATGTACAGTCAAAGAAAAACAAGTGGTATATTCTTCAGTGTGCTTGCGAGCGTTGGTGGTGGCAAGAAGCAGCACAAACATTTCATTGCCCATATAAGCCTATTTCACTGTGAACTGTAAATTGTTCATGGAAAAAAGAGATTTTCAGTGATCGCAGTTGCGTGGGCTGCTTGAGTGTGCGTGTGACTCATTCACTCTTCCCCTCTCCCGTGCTCTCTTTCATCGCCTTTGTTCAATTGGCAAATTCTCTTCCAATAAGAACAATAACATAACGGTCATTGTACGGGTGACAATGCTTTTGTTGTTGTTGAACATACACTTCTAAAAAAAAAGTATGCTCGCAATCGAGTGGAAGCACAGCTCCTTATCTCAAATTAATTACTTGTGTGCACCAAACCACTTTAATTAGGGGCTTTGTCATATCTTTAGACTTGTTTGTACATATGTATCTTTATATAGTGGGGGAGCGTGAGTGGGTGTGCTTGTGTGTGTTTGGGCTTGCCGGTAACATTTTATTACCGATAAGTCATCGCTGTGGTTAACAGTGTTGGCTAACAGATTTTGAGGAGTTACACTGAAATAAAAATCTTAACACGAATAGGTTACCTTTATTACCTGTTATGGATTTCATTGAATGATACATGTTTGACATATATATATATTTTAATTGAGTGCTCAAGTTTCTTGTAAGATTACTTAATACTTAAGGTAGTTGAATTGTCAAATGTTATATAATATTAAAAAAAAAGGAAAGTGCCAAAAGATGTTAGTCTTATTAAATTAAAATTTGTGGTTAAAATGTAATTTAATATTTACTTTAAAGAGTGGTTTACACATGTGTTCTGTGCACAAATTCAAGACGCACTAAGAACTTAATATTTATCCTAACACTAGAATTACTAAACCTTATGTTTAATGTGAAGCTCTGCAAGGAATATTTGTTGCAATTTAATGTTAATATTTAGGATTACTTTTTTGCAAGAAACGACATATAGGAAATTTAAAATAACATAAAAATTAACTTTTATTAGTACCCAATGTCCTTTTCCTTCTTACTGACATTTACTCCATTTTGGTTGTAGGTCAAGAAGCGCCAGCAGCGCGTTCTGATGATCCTGGACAGCAAGAACATCAAGTACGACACGGTGGACATCACAGAGCCCGGCAAGGAGTCGGAGAAGGAGCTGATGCAGAACAAATCGACGAGCAGCGGCGGAACGGTTAGCGATCCGGAGCCACGTCACCCGCTGCCTCCCCAGCTATTTAATGACGAGGAGTACTGCGGTGACTACGACGCCTTCGACATGGCCAACGAGATCGACACCCTGGAGGTGTTCCTCAAACTGGCCACCGCCGACACCACGGCGATTAGTACCGCCCAAATCGAACTGAAGCAGGAGAACGGCGAATCCAAGAAGGAGGAGGCGGAAGCGGAGGAGAAGAAGCCGGAGGAGGAGAAGGCGGAGGGCGGCGACGGCGATGTCAAGGACGAGGCTGCGGACAAGGCCGAGGTTTGAGCTTGAGCTATTTTCACGTATTTTCCGTTAACTGTTACGACGTCACAATCGAAGGCAGTAACCATCGGCAGCAAACAGCAATAGAATTAACAGCAACGTCTTGAAACTAAAGCCCCACAGTTAACAGCAGCAATAACCCGTAATGTTATCTAACAGCACAGACACTACCAACTCTCTATATCTATATATTTATAACACCTGTCGTCGGTTTCTATTCCTATAAAGTTTGGGGGAAATGGAATGGTTTAAACTTTCCTTTTGTGGAATTTTTTTAAACAAGTGGTCTAAATGTTTTATTAACTGTACTGACAGTTTATAAGTACGTATTGATTAATAATTATACAAATTTGGTTCTAATTTTCGGTGTTATGCAATTTATTTTAGGAAATCTCGAGATTCAGTAGATCCTAATACAATACAACGGATAAGTCAGTTAAGATATTAAAGTAAAACAAAATTCCAACATTTTCTAAACAACAACATATTTTTGAGAACCAATTCCCCAAACTTGATTAGGGTTAGAAATCGACTCGTCTATCTTCTAATTGAGTTTAATTTTCTAACGAATTCATCATGACGACTGCGGTTCTTAAGCTAAGTTCACGAGCATATTTAAGCGAGGTCGACCGATTGTGTTAACCCTCGGAAAAAAGACAATTTCAATCAAAATATTTATATTCATTAACTTACATCCGACACCTTTGTATGTACCATTTATACACTTGTATGGACTCGGAATACACGCCAGCACTTAAGCCTAAGTTGGATTAGTGTAGAGAGCTGAAACTTTTTGTGCAGCCGTTATGTTAATGCAAAAACATAAAAATGCGCTGCCCCTGTAATAAAAGGAAATATATTTGTATTTACTAAAAAAAACCGTAACCAACAGCCAGCTTGTTTTTCTAACACTTTATAACACACCTAAACTTTAACAGCATAGCAATAACTAACCGCGAGATGCCTAACGAATAGAATGCACTGCAAACTAAATTTACAAGAATGAAGACAATAAGGTTTTTAAAGGTCGGTCCTAAGTCGGAAAAAAAGTGCTCTTGAAACAAAAGTTTCTTGAGCATTTCGATTGCCTTAAACAAAAAACTTTATAAAACTATTTTGTAATGTTAATACATTACTAATGATCGCGTGATTCTCCAAAGAACCAAGACAAGGACGGCGAAGATAAGGACAAAACTGAGGGCGAGGATGAAGCCGCTGAAGAAAATACTGAAGAAAAGGTAATAGATCGATCGCCTCTGCATGTATGAATTGTAACACTAGAGATGTAGACCTCGTAGAAGCTAACAAAGGCATGATCTTGCACAATAGTAGAAAAGCTAAGGTAGAAATCCCACTGATATGATATTGTATATACATTTTCCACTTCCCTACCAAAAAACAAAAACCACCCATCAAAAACCCTCAAACAATCGCACGCACAATTATTCAACCACCCACAAAAAGACTGAAACCGCAGAGGGTGAAGAATCCGAGGATAAGGATAGGAAGGATAAAACTACAGGTAAAGGTAGAAGAATGTCATTAGGCTCTAATCAAAATTTTTACACTGATGAAGAATTAGAAAAAACTGAAGAATCCGAGGGAGATGCTACTAGTGAAAAATCCGAGGAGGATGGTACTACAACAGAAAAATCCGAGGGTGATAAGGCCGAAGAAAGATCAGAGGCAGAACAATCGGAGGAAGGTGAACCCAAAAAAGAATCGGAGAAAGATGAGTCTGAAGAAGAAGCTAAAGAAAACTCAGAGAAAGATGATGAGCAAGACGAAACTGAGGTAGAAAATACCAATGACTTGATTGATAAAGAATCAAAGGAAGAAAATGGCAAAGAAGGAACCGAATCAGATAATACCAAAGAAGAAACCGAAGAAGAAAATATCAAGGAAGAAACTGAAGAGGAAAATACCGAAGAAGAAAGCAAAAAAGAAAATACAAATGAAAAAACCGAAGAGGAAACTGAAGTTGAAAATACTAAAGAGGAAACGGAAGTAGAAAATGCCAATGAAGGAACGGAAGTAGAAAAACCTAAAGAGGAAACGGAAGACGAAAAAGAAGAATCAGAAAATACTCCTGAAGAAAAGGAGCTAGAAGATATTAAAGAAGGAACTGATCTAGAAAATACCAAAGAAGAAACTGAATCCACTGAAGAAACTGAGCCCAAAGAAGAAACTGAATCCAAAGAAGAAACTGAACCCAAAGAAGAAACTGAATCCAAAGAAGAAACTGAACCCAAAGAACAAACTGCACAAACTATAGAAGAAACTAAAGAATCTGAGAAAAAAGAAGACGCCGAAGAGGAGGCGGAAGAACTAGCTGAGAAGGAGAAACCTGAAGAAACGGTAGTAGAACCTACGCCCGAAAACGTAGAGAGTAGTAAATCAGCCGAGGAGAATTCTTCCGAAGAAGAGGAATAGCCGCTAACTTCCAAAATCGATAAAAACGACAGCAACAGCCACATACTGACATCCGAATCACAGACACCAATGCACCTACACTCACTCGCACATAAAAAACACATTTAGCCAAATAATACCGAAAAGTTTTGTAAATAGAAACAAAAACCTACTAATAACGAATCTGGTGACGGGTAACGAACCCTAGATTAAGGCTTTATGTGAATTTAATTTATAATTTACCCCTTTCGCCCAAAAAATGCCTGTCCACAACAACATTAACAACAAAAGAAGTTAACAGCGACAGCAACAACAGCAGCATCAGTGAAGACTCCCACGTCTTTAGACTCCCAATCGGAACTCTTATTGGACAGCGAGAGAGCAGCGGCTGCACACTAGGCGTCGACGTCGACAGAGGCAACGACGTCTTTCTTTTTATTGGAAATTATTATTTTAAAGACATTCGGGCTTGTTGGGACTTTACTTATTTTCAATTTTTTAGATTTGAAATTGCTTGTGATCTTTTTTTGTGAATATATTTGATTTTATATCAATATCTAGATTTTATTACAAAGCAAATTTACTTCCAGACAAAAAATAATTAAAAAACTGAAACATTAAATTATTTAAAAAAGGTTTACAATACTTGAATAAATCTGTGAACGATTAAATACATGTACTTCATATGGGTTTGATTAAAATTATTGTGATGCCATTTATTATATCTAATTTAACACATTAATGTTACTTTTCTAAAAATGTATTTAAAATTCGGTAAATTCGATTTGATTTATAATTAAAATAAGAGTGGAAAAACCAAACAAGCCCGATGATAATTTTCAGTTTATTAACCACACATAATATCAATAGACTTTTGTATTTACGTGTCTCACTTTTAGTTCTTGTATCCAAATAATTAAATATACAGTACATTATAATTATGTTTAGTACAGTACACGGTAAAATGAAGTTATAGTTATTTACGCACTAGTTCGGGGTCTTTTCCATTACAAAACTAGTAAAAATGCGAAGGAAGGTCGCATTGGTGTGCCTCCTCCGCCACGCGAAACTCATTTACTAAAAGGAAAACAAAGAGGCTTTTCTTCCGTCCCAGAGAAATAGAGAGGAGGTTGAGGTTGATTGGGGGCGGGACATCCATCCTTCCGTCGATCCGGCGGTCTGTCCATCTAGTCGCTGTCCTCCTCGTCGGACGTGTCTGTGGTGTAGTCACTCAGGTTCTCCTGCTGATCGTTGTGCTCCGGCTCCGATTCGCTCAGGTCCCACTGGGGATGGTCTGTCGGTGGTGCGGGCGCCTTTTGCACATCCAGTTTAAGCTCCTGCTGCTGGTCCATGCCCAGATAGGAGTCTGAAAGATAGGCAAAAATCATTAACCATCGCACCATAGACAAAAACAAAGTCCTAAATGGCTTAACATCTCTCTTTATTATATGTTTTCCAATGTCAATGTTAGTCTTGAACCATTTACTGGTGAAGATTTGCCGTTTTTTGTATAATCTTTTAGCCGAGTGGCATATATTTATGCTCACAATAAAAAAAAAAGCGTGGGATTTAAATATTGAAAGCCCTACACCATGGATTATTAACTAAAATGTGATCCCCTCCAGAAACTCACCCGATCTCAGGCACACGGTGAACGTGTAGACAGCGGGCCAACGTGGCGCGGTGAACTTCAGCTGGATCTCCTCCTTCTCAACCAGATTGGTCACGTGATACGGTGCCGTCAGCAGGGTGCGCGACTTGCGGTCACAGATGTACGTCCACCAGTACTCCTGTTTCTCCTCGGGGAAGTAGGGGCAGTGGACGGTGTGCGACAGCCGCGACTTGCCCTCGAGACGCTCCCTCTTGTTAAGCTTGGCTTGAAGTCGCTCCCACTCCTCGTCATCGTCATCGTCCAGCGAGGAGTTGTTCTTGCCCTTCTCCTCGTCCTCGCTGCCACTGCCGGCAGCCGACTCCACATCGCTGCCCTCCGCATTTCCGGCCTCCGATTCGGCATCAGAGTTACCAGCCGCCGCTTGATCCTCGGAAGCCGTGGTTGTAGACGTGGTCGCCACCTTTGCTGGCACCTTCTTCTGATTGTTCTTCTGGTTTTGGGCTGGTTTCTTGCCACCCTTGCCCTTGCCTCCTTTACGTGGTTTTGCCCAGGCGGATGCCTTCTTTGCCGGTGCAGCAGCCGCTGCAGCTTCATCCTCATCCCCGGCAGCCTCTTCGTTGGCCTCATCTTTGATGCCCTGTTTCTCGGGCACCTTGGTGTCGCCGAATAGCGTCTTCATGTCCTTGCGTTCCAGCGTAACCGTAACCGTAACTATGGCTCCGGCGGTCACCACATTGGTGTTCTCATCGTCAATAACCTCGCATCGAATGGAGAAGTCAATCAACGGCATTTTGCCCAACACTTTTATAGTGTTTTCGTACTCAAAGTCTGAGAGATTCTTCAGCAGCTGGCGACTCTCCTCCGGCTTGAGCTGGGCAAATTGCTGCAGGTTCTTGACGTGGCGCTTTTTGTTCATGAAATACAAATGATCCTCGGTCAGGTGGGGCAGCTGCAACAGCGGCGACTTAAACTCCCAAAGGCCCTGGATGATCATGGGCGACATCTTCATGCAGTTCTCGATCGTTTCGATGCTGGGCAAGCGGGGCACACGTCGGGCATAGGCCATCATGACCAGTTGGTGGACGCACGAGACCATTTCTTGGACAAGATAGGGGCACTTCTTCACTATAAACTGACGGTCACGCTCCAGGGTTTCTGGATTGAGTGGCATGCGACTGAGATGGGCATGCAGGATGGCGCGAGCCTTGATGGAGTACATACGGCACAGCGGATGTTCCTTGCACTTTTCATTTAGATTGGGTAGCTGCCGTATGAGCTGTGTGGTTAAAGGGATTATTATTAATCACTGCTCTCTGGGGAAGATCGGGATATCCACTCACCGCTGGCACCTCGTCGTTGTCTGACTGCCGCTCCTGCACCTGTGAATTGTGCCGCTTGTCAAACTCCAAGCTAGCAGCCAGCACCATAAGTGCCCGCTTGAGCAGCATATGAGGCGTCTTGTGGATGAAGTAGAAGTACATCTGGGTGGTGTCCAGGAGTACTTTGTCGCCGCTGAAGCGGATGGATCGGTACCACCAAACGCCCACCGCCGAGGGCATGGCCACCATGAAGACCAGGCCATACAGGCCCAAAACCCAAACGCTGTTCTCCTTCTCCACGATCCACGAGGGCAGAGCGATGCCGAAGGACATGGCACCCGGACCATCTGGATTACCATACTTCTCGTAGTTCTCCTTGGCCACATCGTCGGTCAGCGCCTGGTACGCCTTGCTCAGCATCATGAAGGACTTCTCGTCACCCGTCTCTTTGTCAGGATGCAGCACCTTGGACAGTCGGTAGTAGGCTTTCTTGATCTCCGCCTGCGACGAGGTCGGAGGCACATTTAGTATCTCGAAGGGATCGAAGCTGGCCATCTCGTAGTCAAACTGCGAGACGCGGTACGTGAGGAAGAGCAGCAAAGCCCAACCCAGCACGATGGTCAGCTTGATGGTCCATGATGTCAGGGCTCTGTACGGCTCGGCATTGGCCAAGATGGTCTTCTTTTTGAGGCAGTCGGCGCACTGGCATTCCTCTTTAAGCTTGCCGTGATCTACAGGAATTTATAGGAATAGAGGGTTAATAAAGACTTGATAGCTTCGAAAAGTTATATAAGCACAAATGTATACAATTCGAAACATTGGCTTTACAAAATTTATAATTATTAAGGTATATAAATGCACCATTAACAATTCTCCAAAAAATGTATTGATTTTCAATTCGATAATATTTTAGTTAAAACCAGTAATATCAGTTTAAAACATTAGAACGATATAAATTTTGGCAATGTACTTTGTAAAATGAAAGCCAAGATTGTAATTTTTTCTGTTTAATCTTAATTGGTTTTAATGAATATCTATCCCCTATTTTTTCGAATAGCACGGATAAGGCGACTTAAGAATATTTCATAGATTTCACAAAAACAATCGTCCCAAGCCAAATTTTTTTTTTTTTTTAATTGCGACTATTTGGTTTTTTTAAATTAAATTTAAATGAAACTATTATTGTAATGCGGTGCAATATTTTTACCGGGAATGCCAGCATTACAGAAATCTCGCGCGAGAGAAAAATAATAGTAAGGGAGATTGAAACTTTGTAAGTGCAAAGTTCACACACTTTAAGAACAAGCAATATACGTTAAAGATAACTCGATGTGGATCACTACCGATCACGGACACAAAGTCGCGTAATCGCGATTTCCAACGCATGAACGCGCGTGGAGTGCAGAGCTTCAATTGGGAAGTAAAAAGAGAGAGCCCGACTTGCGGTAATCGCAGCTTTCACCCATACGAAGGCGCTGAGCTGACGTTGTTAGAATAACTTATTGGAACGTGTCCATTTACATTGCAAAAGAAGAGAGGGAGAGGGATAATCACATGTATGCCCATTTCTTACTAGACACACACACCCGCGCACAGCTGCAGGTGGAACGAAAAAAAAAGAGAGAAGAGAGTGCGATTAAAATCGGCGGGGCATTCGGCACTAACCTTCTTTCTTTTTACGTGGCCAATAGTAAATGGTGGTCGGTATCAATATTAGCGCCAAGAATGATAACACAAAGTAGTAGAACGTTCCGCCGCTCTCATCGTACTGGAACTTTTGACCCGCCATCTCCGATTGCAACTTTTATATATTAAGTATTTTGTCTGGCTTTCCTTTCCGCTTTCCCTTGCACTTTTCCTCCGGCAGCTCCAGCTGATGTCGCAGTGGAGTTATCGTTTTAATCGCTGCTCCCCGTTAACTTTTGATCGACGAGCGGCACTGCGGGGGCAGACCAGTGAAGGGGGCGGGGCGGTAGCTGTTGCTGCTGCGAGATGTCGCGAGAATTGCACGCCGCGAATTTAAAAAACTCTGTATTTACACCGACGCATGAGACTGACACGTAGGGTTGTTTGGCTCGTGCTGGAACCGATTGGCAGCAATGGAAGCGGAGCCAGTTCGATAGGCGTACTGTCGATAGGCAGGTGGCAACTCCTCTTCGGTAGGGCTGCCAGGCGACGTAATTGCACACAGAGATTTTTTTGTTAATTAATTATACATATTTATTAATTTAACACCGAGTCATAAGTCATAAAGTCTATTCTCTGGCCAATTCTTTCTTTCTCACTTATCAGATCTCGATTTAACATCTATTTAACATTATTAACATATGCAAATAAAAGGATAATTTAAAATATTTAAATTGCGAATTTAAATTGACTGCATTAAAAATCTAGTTTCTACTTATTTATTTATTTAAACATAAATTTCATGAATCAAATATAGCTTTCTTAGAATATATTTTGGTGAATAATTATGGTATTTTTAATCTTATTAAAAATCATGTCAGTGGAGTCAGACTATTAAATTGTTATAATAATCAGGCAACTCCGTTAGTGAACCTGTTTTTAACAACCTATCGTTAGTTTGCACCCGGTGTTTTCTGATTATTTGCAAACTATCGATACTATCGATATTGCCATATATGGTTTGACATCTCTATATTGCGCAGATAGCTTGGTGAGTCCCCAGATAAAAGTTTATTAGTAGTGGAAGGGCGGCGACGAAAAGTTCAAATTGAGAAAATTCGACATGGCAGGAGCTAAAGAAAACTGTGTTGCCAGGCGGACAGTCCGACAAGTGCAGCAAAACTTTGCGGAGTCCCTTGGATATGCAGACGAGATAATCTGGGATCTGTAAGTATTGCGCAATTGGCTTTCCGGCTTACACTTTCAGAAAAAATTGCAGGTTATCTCAGGATGAAGGTGACAAACTGAAGGAAAAGATCAAAGAATTATTTCGGGATCCTTACTCATCTAAAGACCAAGAGTTGGCCACAATAAGTTGGGCTGATTTTGAAAAACATGAAAAAAACCGAAAGAAGCTGGTCGCGCATAATGAAAGAGTGCGACAGATCATTTTCGATGCCGTTTGGGAACAGCGTAAGCATGGCGTCCAGATTACGTAGTCTACTTATATGGGTTGCATAAGCACCATTTTTTTTTTCAGGTAAATACACCAACCGGCAATCGCTGACGGCCATAATCTACGTACTGGTTGTTGCTGATGAGGTGGACGTTCACCGCGCTGAGGACTCGAGGACTTTCTCCTGTCATCCTGTATTCCGGGCACGCCGATGCGTCAGTGAGTTTTTTGCAGTAGTAGTAGTTTATACCTAAGCAAGTGGAATTGCACAGCTAAACATGTCGTATGTATGTGTCAAAATGTGTCTCTTTTCAAAATGGTCACGGCCTAAACCAAATCTAGCCTTGCACAATCTTGCTTTCTGCATTTAGTTATTAAGCAGAAAATTTTACGAATTAATTTCCCTTAGCAAATTAAAACGTAACCAAAAAGTAAGTTGCCAGTTTATTTCTTGAAAACTATAATTCTTACATATAATTGTCCTTTAGAAATTTAATTCCATGATTATCACTGCGTACGAATTTTAAGAAATAAATCGTATTTGCCCCATTAAAATATTAAAAACAAAATAAGATAAAGTAATGTAATGATAAAGTAAATAATTTATTTTTCCTCCAATGCTATACACACTTCTGCTTAAAATTATAGTAACCTTAGCAAGAAACGAATACCTTAGCTGATCGTAAATTGAAACATCGTCACTAATTCGCTTATTTTCCTACAGCTAGCAGCAGTGGTCGCAGCAACGACAGCTCCGATTGCTGCAATTTATTCGTTGATGAGACCGGCCGTGTTTATCAGAACTGGGAGCAGTACGTGGCCACCAACAAGCTGCCCGCCGGAGTGATGGTGGCTCCGGAAAGGGGAATCTACCGCATGGTCAAAGACCAAGTGCGACTGGAGAAATATGTAACGCCAGCGGGCACAACCAGCTCACAAGTGCTGGGGTACATGGACACGGGAGCAGCGGTGGGAGGCTTCGCCGCTGCCGCCGTTCCCATTGCGGCGTTACTAACGCTGCCCGTATCCGGTCCGTTAATGGCCGTGGCTGGAGTCGTGGGTTTGGCCAGCGCTGGATACGCGACAGCCCGCTCCAGCGTGAAGTTGGTGGACCGCAGTCAGCACGAGCAGTCGATCAATGTGACGGACCGCGAGGCACGTGGCCATTGGCTTGGCGTGGTCGCCGGCGCCGTGGGTTTAGGTGCGGCAGGGGCCACTTCAGCACTGACAGCGGCGACGAACGCTGGACGCGAGGTGGGAGCGGTGAGTCCACAGACATTTTTTACTTAAATAATTTTAACGAATAAGTTAACTTAGATTACCCAACTGACAGTGAATGGAATGAACATCTCCTCAATCGTGGTCTCGGGCACTGGAGTGGCCAACGGAGTGTTGGATTTGATACTGGTAAGCCACATTGAGGTTCCTAACACCAACACGAATCCAACAATATATTCTGCCTCCCAGAAAGTGCAGGATGGTGATGACATTACCGGCATAGATGTGCTGCAGTTGTCCGCTTCGCTGGTGCTGTTCACACACAGCGTCTACAATTTCAAACTGGCCTCGACCATTATTAACGAAACGGCCAACAGTAATATAGCGGGATTTCGGAAAACTCTTAGCCATCGTCTAAGGTAACTAATGACCAATTTGTTGAATGCAAACTTTAGTACTCAGATTAGATTAGATCGGATTAGCTAAGTTAGTCAGCGATCAATGCTGACCTTTTGTATTTCACTAGGGCTTTGTCTGCCAATCTGAACATATTAATATTGCATTTTTGTTTGGTTCTGCCTTTTTAATGACCCTCACCTTGCAGACGCACCTTTGACAAGATCTACAAAGAGACCCTTCGGTTGCGGGGAAATACTCAAGGCAAGTTGGACATTATACGCAGCGTCAACGAAACGCCTTCGCAATTCAATGATCAAGAAATGGATTCTAATTTACTGATTAAACCGCCTACCACTGCGCAGCCGCGTCAGGAGCCCAGTAATTATGCCGCTGGGGTGTTTTCCTTGCAGCTGAGTTCCGTGATGGTTAGAGGAGTGACTTTTGTGCTGGAAAACTACGGCGTATCCCTTTTCCAGCACGTCATCAATGCCGAGAGTTTTGAAAAACATATCACCAGAATGGCTGCAAACTTGGAGCCTGAGGTGTTTGACTTCATCATGAAGCTGACACGAACCTTCATGGACACCATGCTGGATGAGCTTAACTCGGTGCTTAAGTTCTTTATTCCAACGGAGTCTGTGCTCTCTCGCATTCTGCTGAATGTGGTAAACAACTACCGCCACATGCCTTATAACTTGGTCGAGCACCACACCGGAGACATCCTCGCAGCGGTCAGGCGATACTTTCTATCCCTCAACCCGAACTCGTACACCGGTCTCTTGCAAAAGTGCCCCATTTGTGTCGGGTATTCAACACTTGTTGTTTAAAAAAGTTAAAAATAAGATAATTGGTGCCCTAAATTTAAAAGCATATTGCAACTACACAACAAGGATGCACAACATTTTAAACATTTTAGAAATTATATTGCCATTTTGGATCAAATTTACAATATAATACAATTATTTTCCATATTACACTGCAGAACCATTTAACATTTTTTTTTCGAATTCTTTTGATGTTAATATTAAAATATAACAAGAAAAAAAACTAACTTCGTTTTGGGGTTATATATGTGCAAATTAATATATAAATATATATGTACAGGTTTGCTTTAATTTTATTTTGTTCGTTGAATTTTTCGGTATCATATTGGTTGATTCTCCTAAAATAGGTTAATGACCAGAAGACTCATGCTGAATCTGCTTCTCGTTCGGAAAATAGTTTGACAGTTCAGTGTAAAGTATTTTAGTAGCTGTGTCGGTGATATGTGGTTGCCCACTTTTCTGGATTTTGGCTCTGCTTTGGACTGGCTTATTAGGGAAGAGCCGGCTGCTTTCCGTCAAGGTTTAATCAAATAATTGAACTTCTGAGTCCAATGGACAACAAAATTTAAGCCAATTTAAAAGTGACATCCCCAAAAAATTTGTATCCTCTTAAAATTTGTTTTTTTTTTCTAACCCATTTTAATGTTCGTTATTTCTAAGATTTCGGTTACTTGTAAAAACAATTTGAATTCTAGAGTTCATACCTTAAAAAATGTAAGCCGATTTTAAAGTCACGTACCACTTGTGATTTGATTCTCTAATAATGTGCATTAAAATTTATAATTTTAGCCCTGACCCATTATCATGTTAGTTATTTCTAAGACAACAAGAGAGAACGCTATAGTCGAGTGCCTCGACTATTAGATACCCGTTACTCAGCTTTCCTTTAATAGAAATCCTTATCGAGAATTAATGTTGACTCTGTTGAGCACCTTGGCCAGCTGTTCCAAAGTCATCCGTTAGATGGCGCTATTGCATTGCGCCCAAGACATTGGTACCACACGGGCCATGAAAGGCGGAAATGTATGTACATAGGCGCTAGCCAGGCTTAAGCGTTTAATGGGTTTTTGGGCGTTAGAGTAGGCGTGGCAAACTTTTATTAGGCCAATCGATAAGTATTGACGAAACAAATACATATCAATTAAAATTTTCATAATAGCATCAAAACTGTGGCCACAGCTTGTGGCTTGTGGGCGTCAGCGGGGCGTGGCACCCCCCAAACAAACTTGCGCTGCGTAGGAACTCATAAAATCTTCATGCAAAATGCCAATCTTCTATCTTTTATCGTTTCCGAGATCTCAGCGTTCATACGGACAGACAGACGGACAGACGGACATGGCTAGATCGACTCGGCTAGTGATCCTGAACAAGAATATATATACTTTATAGGGTCGGAAACGCTTCCTTCTACCTGTTACATACTTTTGCACGAATACAATATACCCTTTTACTCTACGAGTAACGGGTATAAAAAGGAGACCCTCAATTGGACTTATAGATTCCATAACATTACCAAATGTGAGCCTATTTCAAGTTGACAAGCTCTTAAGACTTTGGGTTTGATTCTCGAAATATCTGCATTCAAATTTTTAATTTTTACGTTGATCAATTTGTTGACCCATTTTCATGATAGTTATTGCAGAGGCTTAGACATTTTCAGTCAAAAGTTTGCAACGCAGTGAAGTGCAATTTATATTCTTGATCAGCATCAGCTAGTAAGTTGTTATAGCCATGTCCGTCTGTCCGTTACAAAAAATTTAAATCAATAATAGTTCCTTGAAATAAGAACATGTCACGATACGGTTCATGTAAATCGATGCTCGACCCCCCGCCCAATTCATCATTCAAAAAGTTTATATGACTTAACGATAGTGACAAATTTAAGAAACCGAGAAATCTATTATAGACATCTAACATAAAAAAATAAAAAGCTTTAAACTTAAGAAAATGATTTTGAATTTATTCAAAAACGTTAAAAAACAACCCATGAAAATTGTAAAATTTGCTTAATTAAAAAAACATTTCTTTACATTTTCATTTTTAGCTAACCTTGTCTTAGTATTATCACTTTGTCGCACAAAGAAAGATAATACGTTTCCACTACGTTAATGATGATAAAGATATTTATAGAAACTTTAGTGATAATTAGTATTAGCATTCAATCTAACTTAAAACCTTCCAGTGGAATTCGGCTATTAAAAAATTGTCATAGTCTGGCAACATTACAAGTTTGTGAATAGTTTGCAATGGTCTATCGATGGTTCGCTGCCGGTGTTTTCGCCTATTTTTAAGGAAAAATAAGTGAAATGATCCTGAAATAACATTTTACCAACATAGAAATCGCCCAATAAAGGTGAAAAATGTAGAAAAGAACGAAAGTCATGGAAAACTTATTTTCCGAAGTAAAGTGAGACCAGTTAAGTGCATGGAAAAAATTACTACTTTCTGTCGCTTTTGATTTTGGTATTTTGAGTGCGATCATTGGATTCGTAAGACGGAAGTGTGCGCGGTGCGCATATAAACTGGTGGTTACCCGGAAAAACTTCATTAGCAGAGAGACTTCGTCCAAAATCAGAAGATTCGACATGGCAGAGGCTGAAGAAAAACGTGTGGCTAACCGAACCACCTGTGAAGTGCAGGAAAACTTTGCGGAATCGCTTGGTTACGCAAAGGAAGAAAGCCATGTGGCTAGCCGAACCGCCCGTGAAGTGCAGCAAAACTTTGCGGAATCGCTTGGTTACGCAGAGGAAATAATCTGGGATCTGTAAGTAATGCGCAATTGGCTTTCCGGCCCGTTACAATATCTTTTCTGATAACATTTCAGGTTGTCCCATGCACAAGCTGACGTACTAAAGAAAAAGCTTAAGGAACTGATTCGTGATCCAGAACCAACACCTAAAGATAAAGCACTGACGACTAAAACTGCGGCTGATCTTGAAAAAGATGAGAAAAAACTTAACAAGTTGATCGCGGATAATGCTAAAGCGCGACAGATAATTTTCGATGCCGTTTGGGAGCAGCGTAAGTAGATGATGCAGTCTATATGTCTGATTCATAAGCCCTTTGTTTTTCCTCCAGGTAAATACACCAACCGGCAATCGCTGACGGCCATAATATACGTAATGGTGGTTACTGACGAGCAGAACCTTAATCGCGTGGAGGACTCAAGGACTTTCTCCTGCCATGCAGTCTTTCGGGCCCGCCGATGCATCGGTGAGTTTTCTGCAGGAGTACACGGAGACTCATTTGTCCTTGTCGTACTTAATTAATTTAAGTAATTTTGTTCTCCCGAATTTATTAATTATTAATATTATTAAGTTTTTAATACTTGCTTCTTTATTTAAAGAGTACATAAAGCCAGATCTTTACTTCAGATTTATGTATATGAAATATTCCCTTTTTTCGACAGCTGGCAGCAGTGGGCTCAGTAGCGACAGCTCCGATTGTTGCAATTTATTTGTCGATGAGACCGGTCGTGTTTACCAGAACTGGGAGCAGTATGTGGCCACCAATGAGCTGCCCGCCGGAGTAATGGTGGCCCCGGAAAGAGGAATCTACCGCATGGTCAAAGACCAAGTGCGACTGGAGAAATATGTAACGCCAGCGGGCACAACCAGCTCACAAGTGCTGGGGTACATGGACACGGGAGCAGCGGTGGGAGGCTTCGCCGCTGCCGCCGTTCCCATTGCGGCGTTACTTACGCTGCCCGTATCCGGTCCGTTGATGGCCGTGGCTGGAGTCGTGGGTTTGGCCAGCGCTGGATACGCGACAGCCCGCTCCAGCGTGAGGTTGGTGGACCGCAGTCAGCACGAGCAGTCGATCAATGTGACGGACCGCGAGGCACGTGGCCATTGGCTTGGCGTGGTCGCCGGCGCCGTGGGATTAGGTGCGGCAGGGGCCACTACTGCACTGACAGCGGCGACGAGCGCTGGACGCGAGGTGGGAGCGGTGAGTTCACAGACATACTTTACTAAACTGCCTTAAATAATTGATCCGAATCGGATTATTTAGATCACCCAACTGACCGTGAATGGCATGAACATATCCTCAATCGTGGTCTCGGGCACTGGAGTGGCCAACGGCGTGCTGGACTTGATTTTGGTAAGCAAAATGGAGGTTCTAACTCTTAACCCAATCCAACAATCTATTCTGCCTCCCAGAAATTCCAGGATGGTGACGACATTTCCAGCATGGATGTGCTGCAGCTGTCCGCTTCATTGGTACTGTTTACGAACAGTGTTTACAATTTCAAACTGGCCTCGACCATCATCAATGAGACGTCCAACAGAAGTATAGCGGGCTATCGGGAAACTCTTAGCAATCGCCAGAGGTATAAAATAATAAATTTAAAGATTTCAGTACTCAGATTAGTACTCAGATTAGATTGGACAAATAACTAACGACTTCCCTTGCAGACGTACCTTTGACAAGGCAGCCAAAGAGACCGTTCGGCTGCAAGGCAGTACTAAAGGCAAGCTGGACATTATACGCAACGTCAACGAGGTGCCCTCACGTCAGCAATTCAATGATCTCTACAAGATCAATCAAAATATGAATCAAGAGAGTGTGCGCTACTCGTTTGCGCCCGACGGTCAAGGATTCCTTCTGAACGGCGAGGTACAGACGACAGCAGCGGATTTGAGGGCCAGTGTACAACATAACCAGGGACCAAATGTTCTGGGTCAAGTTAGTCAGCCCATTCCCGCAAGCCATGCGGGGTCGGGTAGACTACAATTGGACGGCTTAAATCAGGTTTCCCGACTGATTGGACCACAGCCCACATCGCACTCGCGTCAGAAGCCCAGCACTTATGCCGCAGGCGTTTTCACCTTGGAGTTGAGCTCCATAGTAGTTGGCAGTGTTACTTTTGCGCTGGAGCAATATGGCGGAGTTATTTTCGAGCATGTGATCAATGCCGAGAGCTTTGAGAACCTGATTACCGGCATGGCCGAGAATCTGCAGCCGGATGTGTTTGATTTTATCATGAATCTGACACGACTCTTCATGGATATGTTGCTGGATGATCTTACCTCGGTGCTTAAGTTTTTCATTTCGACGGAATCTGTGCTCTACCGAATTCTGGTGCACGTGATGAACAAATACCGCAACATGCCCTGTGAGTTTTTGGAACAGCATACTGGAGATATCCTCGAAGGGGTCCGCCAGTATTTCATGTCCCTCAACCCGAACTCATGTCTTGTCCAAAAGTGCCCCATTTGTATCGGCTACTTCAGCATTTGTCCTTTGTAAAGATTGAATGCAGTTTAAACCCATCGATATGTGATTATTGGTGCCTTATTTTAAAAGTGGAATGCAACTAACAGTGATTTAAACCATTTTACATATGAAATATAACTATAACCAAATATGAGCAAAAAATTACAATTGAAAAAAAATGTGATAAATATTTTTTTAAATATAAGCACAAATTGTCTTGATGTAAATTTGTAAAATTAATTTTATATTGACAAAATAAATGTTTTCTTGTTTTTTAATGCAGAAACAGCGAAATTTTTAAACTCAATAAATGGGAAATGACAAAATTATATGGATTGCAAATGAGTGAGTGTGAGTCATTTCGCAATGCGAAATTCGCATTAACTTGAAATTTTGAGTCTCTTAGAGACTAGCGTGAGGTGTGCAAAAATTATTATTCAAATGATAAAGGTATCAAAAAAATGTACTAAACTTCGATTTCCAGATAATTTATGAAATGTAAAATTTTGGGCCTTTAAATTTTCTACTTTTTAAACATTAAGTAAAAGTTTGAATTTTAGTCAAATAATTTTTTTGAATGATTTTTGGCTATAGGAAATAAAATTTTAATAATTTGAAAACATTAAAGCTGGGAAACCATAGACAACCTTTCAAACTCCTTAAGACATAACCAATTAGCAATACTATAAATAAATGATTTTAACTACATTAATAAATAAATAGAAATGAATCATAATTTCTGCATTTTAGTTTACTTCCTCTCGTACTCGTTTACAATAATTAAAATAATAATAAAACTTAAGAATAATTTAGTTTCCTCTTGCGTGGCTGCTGAAAATTCGTTTCGTTCATCCGGATCACTTGAAAGCTGGAACTAGTTGTGTGCGTGTTTTTTTTCTTTTTCTTTGTTTATGTTTATTTCACGAAGACAACACAGACATATTAAGATCCAAAATATATATATGTATTTATATATATATATATATATATATATATATATATGCGTTATGTATTTAGGGTTTGTGTTTTGAGTGGTTTTGTGGCTTGTTGCCTTCTGGTTTTCTTAACCAGATAGAGATGGATGCGTGTGAGTGTTTGTGGTGTTTCTTGTTTTGTGTAAGTGTGTGTGTGGAGTCATTCGAGGGTGGAAAGTGGAGGAGTATGTAACCTCCAGTTTAGACGCGCGACAACTGCTGCAGCAGATTGCACGGCCAGAACGCCTCGATGCGCTCCTTGAGCAACTGAAATGGATACGAGATCCAGGTAAGTACGGTCTGTGCCAAATGGCCCATCGGCTCCGGATACTGGTGGGTGGCCAAGGCCAGTAGGGCGGTAATGGAGCACAGTCCCGCCGTGAACAGGATGAAGAAGGGCAGCTCCTTCTTGGGATAAACGGACACCTCGTGGAACGCCGGCAGCAACTCACGGTCGGCGCACTCGGTGCACGTGGGATATGGATAAAAGAGGTGGCCGCGTTCCAGCGGATACGGCAGCATGCGAAACGTGCCCTCCCAGGTGCAGTGCAGCAGATTCAGGGCTCCCTCCACCTGCTTCCAGTGCTTCAAATGGAAGAACGCATAGGCCAGTGCCTCCGAATCGCCGCGCTTCAAAATGTGCTCTGGCGGCAGGATCAGCCGCTTTGTCTCCAGCAGATACTTGGGCACATGCGGATTGAACTCCACCGCCCGATGAATGGCTTCCACGGCGCTCATCTCCGCGGGACTGAGACCTCGCTTGGAGGCTATATCCGGCGAGAACTTGTCCGCCACGGCACGCGCCTTCAGCAGAGCAGCCGTATAGCAAATGGTCGCCGACTTGGGCAGCGAGATGTCGTCGTACTTGGCCAGAATTGCATGGCAATCGGCATATGCCTGCATCTCTAGAAGCGTCTCGATCAGATTCTCGTGTATGTTCAACACACTCATGATCGAGGGTATCTCCTTTGTGAGATCACGAAACATCTTGGCCGCCTCCTTTAGTTTGCCCAGCTTGCGGGCGCACATGGCCAATCGTCGCTTAATATAGATAAGAACATTGGTATCCCGGCGATGCATTCCGTCCGCTATGGCGCCCTGATGCTGAGTGGCCTGCGACTTGCGGTAGTTGATCTCGGCCACCTTTAATGCTGTCTTCAGGATCTTCTCTGCCTCCATAATGGTCATGGCCTCCTCTTCGGCCAGGAGTATATAAGCAGGCGCACATTCCGCATTGATTTCCAGCGCACTGTGGGCGGACTTGATGCGCTGCATGGGATTGCGCTCACGCCAAGCCGTCTGCATGATTTCGTACTCCTCCTTGCGGGCATCGCCTTCGCAGGTAAAGAAGGTCTGGTGATCCTGGGCACTCAGATTCATGTCGTAGTACGTCAATGGCTCCTTACTGGTGGCCCAAAAGAATCTCTGGTACTCGGCACCACGAAAGAGATTGAGGGGATTCCGCCAGACCTTGCATTCGGGCATTTGGGTGCCCGTACTGGTGGTGGCATTGCCACCGGCCGATGCTCCCGCTCCTCCTGATCCCCCACCTCCGGTTCCGCCATTGCTGCTGCTGCTCGAGCCACTGCTGCTGCTGCTCCCGCTGCCATTGCTCGACTCCGATTGGCCATCGCTGCCGTTTATCCAGGGACTGATGTGGTTGATGGAGACTTGCTCTGCGGGACAGGAACAAGCTAGTTAAATGGAGTCACCTGGGGAAGGGAAACCCCCCTACTTACCTATAAACGAAGTGCCATACTTGCGAAAGTACCACCACTCGAAGATCAGGATCAGGCCCGATATCAGGCTGGAGGTTCCTGTCAGCGCCACGTAGAACTTGGGCGTCAGCGTGCTGAGAAACATGGACGAGTCCCACATCCTGCTGCCCCCTGCCTGCGAAGTTCTGTATTCGACGCTCGTTTCGCTTTGCCCCTGCTCTATCCTGATTTTGCCGCTTGCCGGGACTTGTCTACGTGCCCACGGGTTTGCGGATACTTTGTGCACTCGCACTGACCGCCGCCGACGGTTGGATCAATTAACGGTTGCCTTTCCTGGCGCTTTCCTTGCGCGAATCCTTGCTGCAGATGAGACTTTTTTCCATCAAGTATTCGAAAGGGGGGTGAGCGGGGGGTTGTGTTTTCGGACCAATGTGACCAGGGGAGGTCATCAAATGACAGCGCAGCGTGACCGCAGCTCATCTCCTTCGAAAAACATAGGAATTACTGGTCACCCTGGACTACCTGGCGGGAAAACACTTTTCCAAATTGTTGAACTTTATGAAAAACGATAACGGATGATAAATTGGGCAAGACGAAGTTTTTATACCAGATTGCACATTTTTTAAAAATAAAAACAAATAGGGTCTGAAACATAATTTTTGAGAAAAAACCGCGATTTATACACAAAAAAACAGCGAAATTTAACAATTTAGACATGATTGTTCCTATGGCAGATATAGAATATAGTCGTTCGGTTGGCTCGATTATTTAAAATGATCAGTGCACAAATAACAAATACGATTTGGAAAGCTCCAACAATCTATATTTTATACAGTGCGAATAATCGGCATATAACCGTATGGTTAGAATAATGAAAGATATATTGCAGCTATGGGATATAGTCAACCGGTTTTGATAAAATCTTAAGAAATGTGTTCTAAACACTAAAAAAATACGACTGCAACAGTTTTAAATCTCTAGCTGTTAAGCATGGCTATATGGCTATATCAACTAGTCATTCTGATCAAAAATCTATAATGTTTGGAAATGTCTCCTTCACTGCGTTAAACACTTCTGATCAATTTCATTATTACCTCTGCCAGGGTATCCATCAGATTTCTACTCAATATTTAGCAATTTAGACAATATTAAAAAAGTGCGGTAACTTCTTGATATGAGCATTCCAATTTGAGTTAAAATGTTCGATTTCTATGCTAGATTGAATTATTTACCGCTAATTCTTGTCTTTGATAAAAAAAAATTTGTTCATAACAAAAGCAATTTTGAGCATTTATTCGATGTCAACTATTATTGATTGATTTGATATATATAAAAATTCCATCTAGCTTTTTTTTGTAATTGCGATAGTTATAAACCTATCGATAGATCCCGAGCCTGACCTGCGCACCACTAAAAAATGGCCGCTTCGCAGCAAGTGCACTTTTTTTTGTATTATTAATCCGACCGAATCGAGAACGAAAAGCCCTAAATTGGAGCTTCTGTTAAACGGAAAGCCATCATAGGGCAGTGGAATCATGGAGCAAGTGAGGGACACCAAAGTGCAAACGCCAGAACCAATGGAAGCGGATGACCCTCCTCAAGAGGTTGAAAGAACTGAGAGCCCAGAACCCAAAACAGCGCCGTTGGAAACGCTTGAAAAAAGTGCGGGTCCCGCTGATTTGGAGGATGAGTTGGCCAATCTCAATGGTTCGGAAGAGGTCGCAGGCCTGGACGAACTGAGCTCGCTGGAACAGGAGATAGCAAAGCTGCACCACATTCGACCACCGGAGGCTGCGTCCGAAGCTGCAGATTCCGTCACTCCGAGTGGCGGAGCGGATAATGGTGGCTTGGAGGCCCGGGTTGCAGGTGATGACTTGGCTAGTGGCTCCCCACTCCTGGAAGATGGGCATGATTCCTCTGGAAATGGTAAGGCCAGTGAGTCACCCCTGGAGGAGGTGGATCTGATAGCATTGCTTAAGGGCACGGACACCAGTCATGAGCAACCTTCCGGCGACGAGAAGTGCGCCTTGGAAAAGGCTCTCTCCGAGCTTGACGGAGTGGAAGGGGACGTGGACGTGGGTGTCACCATAGAGGGCGAAGGGCAGTTCGAGATTATGGAGATCGACGACGACGAAGGAGAGCCATCTTCCCGCAAGCCCAGTCCCAAGGTGGCAGTGGCAAAGACCGACAAACCCTCAGCATCCTCCAACACTTCGACTTCTATTCCCAAGCAAAGGCTGTCCCCAGAGCAAGCGAGAGCTGTGGCTCTAGAGCAGATGGCCGGCCTTAAGAACAAGTCGCGTCGCAAGGAACCGCCGCCTGTTGTCAAGCCGGTGGATATTGTCAGCTCATTAAATGACGATTGGGATGACTACGGCTCTGAGGAAGAAAAGACGGAAGTGATAGCCCTGCTTCCGGCACAGGTGGTGTCAAAAAAGCCGCCTTTACCGCTAAAAAAGGTTACATCTCCCAGCAAATCCAGCCTAAACTCACCGCTCTTGCTCAACAACAAGATCAGCGGGGTTAAAGTAATGTTAAAGACAGTAAGCCAAAAGCAACTGGCGGCCTCAACTGGTTCAGCTCTGGAGAAACCCAAGCAAGCAGTCACCGTGGCACCTCCCAAGGAAATTGAAGAGCCTTCTACGGGTACTGTAAATTCAGTAATGACGACCGGTAAACAGTCATAACAAACTCTATTTCTAGGCTTTAAGCGCATGCGTGTAATTAGAAAGAAGATAATCTGGGATCCGGATGTGCCAGAAACAAAAACGTCCTTTGCTCAGTATGCCAGCACAAAGACTACAGCAAAGGGTCCATCCCCAGCGCCTCCAGCACCAAAAGCAACAGTCAAGAGCATTTCCCCAAATACAACGATTAAAAAGGAGGTGGCACCCAAGAAACGGGCAGCAACGCCCACCGCCAGGACCACTAAAGCTGGCACTCCAGTTGGAGCAGCAGAAAGAGGTATCTCACCTGTCAAGCGACGCTCTCAAACCCCCAATACAGGTTTGGCCAACGGCGGATCCCAGAAAAAGAAGAAGGTTTCTGAAATCGATCGCCTGATGGGCGACGAGGGAGCGGCCAACATGATCCATGCGGTGGAGCACGAGCAGCGAGAGATGAGCGGAGGGGAGATGTCCAACAAGCCGCTGATGCGCAAGCGATCCATGACCATAACCGGAAGGGTGAGTAATAAATTCTAGGTACTTAAATAAGCTAATGGCTATGAAGTATATATAATACCCAACCCCAGAACCAGACACCCCGTGTCGCAGTGGAACCAACACCTCCCAAAAAGGATTCAGCACATTCTTCTGCCAAGCGAACGCCAGTCGCTACCGACTCCGTTTTCAATAAGTCCACTGACCCCTCATCCGCCAGCAAGCCGAGGGCTTCCGACTCCTGGGATTATGTCTACAAGCAGCGCGCAAGCGAGGAGTCCATGATCATGCGACGGCGCTCCAATAGCTCCTACTCCAGCAATGCCTCCGTTAGCCGCAATTCGCTGGACAATAAGCCCGGAGCTGCCAATCTGTCGGATGATGCTGCCGACGGCTCTGATCCTTCCTTTAAGTTCCTTAAGCCCGTAAACAAGGCGAATCAAAGGGGCGCCGAGACGTCGGAAGGCGTCACGTCGCACACGTTGGCCAATGATATGAAGGCCAATAGCGGAACCGAATTGGTGGTCCTGCGCAAGGTAGACAAGGTGGCCCACCTTGTGATACATGCACACCGCGGCAAATCCGGGCACACGTATAGTAGCCAACTGCTGGAGCAGTTGAGCGACACGCTGGCCAGTGTTGCCCGTAAGAGCGAGTACAACACAGTTCTGCTAACCGTTGAGGGTCAGCAGTTCTGCCAGGGCATTGACTGCCAGGAACTAGTGCAGGGATCGCTGGAAAAGCGGAGGAATAGCGTCAGACATCTGGCGCTAGCCTTAAAGTTCGTATAAATGAATAGATTAGAAGGGAATCAAAATTGAATTATAAAAAAAACTTATTTTCAGAACATATCTACGCACTTTGGCCACCTTTCCAAAGCCCGTGGTGGCGGGCATTGTTGGCAACCTAATCAATCTTGGCGTTATGCAGCTGCCCTTTTCTGACTACGTGGTAGCCGCCGATGACTGTAGCTTTGAGACTAATTACTCCAAATTGGGACAGCTACCCGAGGGCTATGCTCTGTGGCATGGTCACGAAAAGGTGTCCAGTCAAGTGGTAAATATTAATAAACGATTAAAAAGATAATTTTTCTAAAGTTAATTTTTTTGCCAGCATTTGCGATTGTTTTTGTTGGGTGAAAGACTGTTTGCACCGGAACTTTTGGGTCCACAAAGTTTCGTTAACAAGATCTGCAAGGCCCGCAGCGTCAACGATGAAGCTCTGGCCATCGCAAAACAAATATCTACAAACTCAGCAGAGGTAAATACCATCTTTAAGTTATTCTATGATCATAAACCAATATCCCATGTTCCGCAGATGTATCGGACGCTGAAAAGACTCAATCACTCAGCCAAAAATGCGGGCAATTTCCCGCGCCTGGATGAGGAACTAAAGGTTATAGCCGAGCAATGGTTGACTGTCAATTGCTTGGCTAATTTTAAACGCTATCTTAGCGATGTTGATTTCTAGAGCTTAGGTTAAGAATTATTGTATACCATGTGCAATGGTAGAGAAATTCATATACACACAATTTTACAAATTAAATCATACATTTAGTTGAGTCCATTTAGAAGTTTTATTCTGGACCATTAGACTATCGCCCTTAGAGTTTTTTTACATTTACCCACAAAACACATGTGTAATATTTTGTATCCTATTGTAAACTAGCAACGCAGTGTAAATTGTATGAAAATTTTAATCAGCATTAAATTTAGATTCTGTTATATCATAATTCGGAATAAATCACGTTTGATTAGTTTTAAACGTGCTTTTACCGGGAAAATATATGGTTATGACTGTTGTAAAAGTTTATGAATCCTGAATAAATCCCCATGCAAAATCATCCTTAGCGACATGTTTTTTAATATTATATCAGATCAATTCGTATTTTAATTTCTAAAAATCTACATTGTCCTTTCATGCCGTAAAAAATTCTTAAAAATATAATTTAAACAAAATGAAAAAAATAAATGAGACAGAAAAATATAAAACTCATTTTAATTTTCTGAAGTTCACCTGTAAATAATTTTTTTAAAGCGAGACGGCAATTCAAAACTATTTGTTTACTGATCTATTTGTTTACTGATTTATTATGGGAGGCTAGAAAAGGTTCTATTAATGTACAATGTATTTCATGCAACTAAATTAACTCGTGTCCGACAGCTCGCTTCCGGCTGGCTAAATGCAATCCAGACTTAGACCCCGATGCGGATCCGCCTAGTTGTGCTTCTCGTCCTCGTAGTAGGCGGGTAGCTCCGCCTGAAGGCGCAACAATCGCACGTAAGTCAGCAGTTTCCACTCGCTGAGCGGCTGATCCTCGGGATGCACGAATGTGGACATGTAGGTGACCAGCTCCTGTGATCCATCCTGGTCCAAATCGGCTATTAGCATTGAGTGATCTTGGTTGTTCAGATCCGGTTGGCACACCATTTCCCTGCGATCGTGGCGGCAGAACTGGATAATGTTGCTTTGAGAGGTGTTCTCGATGTGGGTATCGGCGCCTACGAAAAGCACAAGGATTACCGTTTCCGTTATCATATTCATTTTGTAGCTGCCGCCGGCGGAGACCCCACTGGATTTAGTCAGGTTTTTAGAGGGCACGCCGAAAGTTTCCCTCTTCTGCTTTAGGTGCTTAAAGACATCGAACTCCTGGTGGTCAGGTGGAAACTCGTAGTCCACCGCCTTCGTGCTCCTCCTCAGACGTTGAGGCTGTTGCTTTTTGGCCTGAGCCTTTTCCTTATCCTTAATGGCATTCATGTTCTTGGTGTGATTGTTGCTCCCACTTTTCTGCACATTGTTGCTATTGCTGCTGGCGGAGCTCTGCTTGGATGGCTTTATCAGACCATGCCACTTCCAGAACTTCATCACAAAACCGGACATCTGGGTTTTGGTGTTTTTAAAATGCCACTGGGCGGGCACCATACCATACATCCCGCTGTTACTAAAATTCTGCACCACATGCGGTTTGCCGCCGCGAACTTCGCTCAGCATAAAGGTGACATTGCAATCTTCCGGGCAGTGACCGCGATTCTCCACCACCAGCTCGCGACCGCTCAGTGAATAGATGTTCCTTTGGGCATTTAAGTCTCGCCGCTGGCCGTGATTCCTGTGCTGCGAGATCTTTGCGGTCGACAGTCTTTGACCCACAATTGATTTGTTGGTAATGAGGGCGTAGATCTCCGCTAGGCCCTTAGAACGCTGTTGCTCAGTGCCATTGCTCCGCTGGCAGGTGAAGCTCACATTCCCCGCCTCCAGTTTGACGTTGCTAAGACGCTCGCAGTCGTGGATGCTGAAGCCATCGCCTATAGGCGATCCTTTCCGTCCTGACAGCAATCGCAGAACATTCCGTGCTTCTAGTTGCCCAGGAGATTCATGTTTCTGCTGGGCTAGCGATTTGGTTCGCTGTTCCAGGGACAAACTGGTCACGAGCAGGAGGTCCAGCACACCATCTGCGTCCAGATCGGGCAGGATGATGGGGAAATCGTACGCATCCACCTTACGGGCTGAACGTTCTTTAAACCACCAAAGCCATTGCCCTGAGACCGGATTAATGGCACCTAGTTCGCCATATTCATCCAGCACCAAGCAGTCTGATTTCGCGTTGCCATCTATGTCTACGAGGGTGCAGTCCAGGGCCACCGGCTCATCCACCATCTCCACAAACCAGGCCACAGCTCCTGATGAGCCAATCAAGCAGATGATGCCATTGCGTCTCTCGTTACCAGGGCGGAATTCCGGAAAAAAAGCGTCGCCGCGATACATAAAGATCAGGTTGTTCTCCCAGGCGCGCAGTCCTCCAACCACATTAACTCCTCCCTTCAGCTCTGCCCTCGTGTAGTTATTAAACCAGTTGTGGGTCTTGATGCGATCCCCCACCGCTGGGCAGGATCCAGTACCATCTGGGTTGCCGCAAGGCACTAGCCACACAAAGGATACGATGGCCAGGAAGCAGAGGACAAGGCTGCCAATAAAACAGCATTTTCTGGCCGGTGACATGGGTGTCCTCTTGGCTGAATCCTCTCCAGTCTGATTGCCACCCAAAATAGCCACGTTATCCGCATTGGAGTCGAATTCGCTGTTGAAGTTGGACAACTCCGAACCCACTCCGCCATTATCACTCAACATGACGGAACGAAAGGTGTTTTGCATATTGGTGGCGTGGCTACTGCTTTCCAGTTGGAATTTCTGGGCGTGATTCCCTGCAGAATTTCGGGTCAAAATTCTCGTTGCGGTGGGTAGTGCTCTCGTATGTGGTGATTTAAGGGCCAAAGTGTTTGGCGGAATCCGTATCCTTTGGGATTGAAGCTGCTCCTGAGGATTCTGATGAGTTTGCTGGAGTTTTTTCTGCAGTTTCTGCCGATGATTGGCAGCGTTGTGGATCTCAATTTCCTCGTCGGATTCCGAATCGCTCATTGCCTGACTTAATGGAGCATAGATGCCCTGGTGACCAGCGGCTGGCAGGGATTCGGTGTGCAGCATTTTAGCTGTAAGAAGAAAATCCGGAAAAATCAATACTTTTCAGCCAAACTCAAAGGCAAATAAGGTAAAATATTTTCAAAAACAAAGTTAACTTACCTCCGTTGAATGGCTCAAGCACGCTCTAACATCTAACATCCACATAGCTACTGCTTTTGATCTTTATTGGATTAGGCGAAACATTAATTTCAGTAAAACACCCTTCGAAAAAGCTTTTTCCGCAATTTAAATTCTTTCGACTGCCATTCACAATGGCTGCTGTTATCGACAAGACAGTGTTGACACCCCCACTGAAGTTATCGATATGTGCGTGACTGAAGATGCCCACCACTACATGCAGCCAAAAAGAAACAACAACAACAACGTCTGTGTTTTACGTGCGTGAAAATTAGTTAAGTTTTTATGAAAAAAACTTAGTTGGCTGATCTTAAGAGAGTGTTGAATTGATCCATATGCTGCGGGGGAGTGCGGGGCAAAGGGCTTTAATCAGCAGGACAGGCTAAAAGGTTCCAGAAACGTGAATTTCGCGAAAGTGAAAACGGGGCAGTGCTGTGGAAAACGGAACAAAACGGTGCCAAAATCGAAAAGAATAGCTGCGAAAAGGAACGGGCAATAAAACAGGAGGTGTAGACAAACGCGGTCATCAAAGATATAGTCAATTTATCTGCCCTTGCAACCGATTTGCCAGCGAAACAACAAGAAGTAACTGTTCAAGACCAACACCCACACACGCACTCCTAAACAAATTGTGTACATATATATTGCGTAGTGCGGCGCTTGAAAAGCTGTTTCCATCACCATCTCCATCGCGAACTCACTCCGAAAACCACTCCGCACATGTCCTATATGATGGCCAAGACCCTGGAGGAGCAGAGCCTGCGGGAATGCGAGCACTACATTCAGACCCATGGCATCCAGCGCGTCCTCAAGGACTGCATCGTCCAGCTGTGCGTCTGCAGACCAGAGAATCCCGTGCAGTTCCTGCGACAGTACTTCCAGAAACTCGAGCGGGTGAGTTATCATTTGTTATAGCTTACTGGAAAAACTTTTTTATTGAGATTGTGTGCAGAACGAAGGTTTTCATTTTTATAAACTTCTAGATTTTTAAACAAAAAAATCAAAAACCTTTTTTACCAGACATTTCTTTATTTATCAAATGGTAAATTTGCTTGTATGGGGGTTATTAAAAGAGTAGTATTCTGGACCTTCCCGGACCAAAGACCACGTTCCTCGGTTCTGTTAAAGCTTCGCTTCCATCCCCGGATGTCAATGGCCTTCTTCCCTGGAGGTTTCCCAATATCTACGATTCTAGCAGTGCTTACAAGCATTACTTTGTTTTTTTTTGTCTGGTTGCGGATCTAAAAATGGCCTAATTGTTGACGGAAAGGGGCGACACGTTTCAAATACGTTTACTTGGGGCACGATGGTTTGGGCTTGGGGCACTTTGGCTTTGGCTTTGCGCACCTGGACTTCGGCTTGGGGCACCGGGGCTTCGGCTTGGGGCACGACATCCTTTTCTTGGGCCTTGGGCACGCTGGCTTAGGCCTGGCGCACTTGGGCTTGGGTTTTGCACAACATTTCTTTACCTTCGACTTGGGTTTAGGGCAACTTGGCTTGGGCTTCATGCACTTTGGCTTGCTGTACTGAGGTTCCTTCTTTTTGTTATAACATTCACCACCGCCGTTGCTGCTGCCACCAAAGAAAGTGTCTGTGGCCTTAGGGGTACCTGGATCTGAATCCGATTGCTCATCGCTGTCCGACGAGCCGGGAAGTTCACTAGCGGTACTACTGTTCTCCGAATCGCAATAACCCAGTGAAGTTTTGGGTGGATTCTATTCAAGGATGGGATAAATAAATTAAATAAATGCCTGCCGTTTTTTAATTTAACTCGATCGGATATCCCGATCATAACTTACCACAGAGTACTTGCACCGTTGGAGTATAGACATCTCGTTCCATCGGTTTGCAGCCGCCTGTACAATTTGCTGATTCGTGTAATAATCGCTGTGGCGCTTCCAAAAAACCCTTAGGAAATTAATGTAGGGCGTCTCGACAGAGTCTGAATTACAAGCAGCCAGAACATCGTCAAAGCCATCGCATCTGACATAAATGTCAGACTTTAACGATTCTGCATCCCTGAGATATTCTTCAAACGTTTTCTTGGTGGAACGGTTTTTGACCGCCGTCTTACTATCCTTGAATCGCAGAGTGCTCATATTTTACAAATATTCACGCAAAATTGTAATCTAAACTTTACTTTTCACAACGAAATTTCTTAACAAAAAGTAAAAAAGTATCAAAACAGACTATAATAATTTATAATATGATAAATTTATTAAAGCAAAAAATTAGATGTGTACCGTACAATAGTATAATACAAACTGAATGTATAATGGTCTCAGCACAGCAACTTGAAATTTGAGTTTGAGTGAAGGATCACTAAATACTATGATCAGTTTTTTTTTTAAATTTTTGAAATCAATTGGATCAGATATTTCGAATCAAGTTGGCTGAGTCTATATAAAAAGAAATAAAGATGATTGATATAAAACGTCATATGGTCAGCGTGGCAGATAGTGACCCGATTTTGATAAAATCGACGTTATTATTTAACAAAAAACAGCTGATCAGCCGATTATATGTATATTTATGTATGTATATGAAAACGTGTTTTAAAAATTACAATTTCGCTGATTTTACCACTTTGTAAAAATCAGACAATTATATCAATTTAGATAAAATCGCTCAAGTCATATATTTTTTTTTTTTCTAAAATTGTCCTTTTATTTTGATTTTAGATATCGACATAGAATCTGAAAGGCTATATCAGCAAAGTCAAAGCTTAGTTAGCTTCTTTATTGTATTTCCCTAATTCCGATCCTATCCCTTACTATATTTTAGTTGCCAAAAAGTGTTTTAAAAACCGTGTCAACTTTAAATAAATATTATTACCTAGAGATTTTTTTGTAATTCATCATGTGGGATTGAGCTTGATGGCGGGGTTTTCAACCCCTTGAAAGCAACAAGCAGCACTTGACTGGTCATCTAACGGTCGCTTAAACGAAAATCAATACAGGCTGAGGTCTATTTTTAAGCGGAGTGATAAATAAAACCCGTCAAAAGGCGGATTTTGGAACACCTGCTTGATATGTGGGACTCCTCGTTCCTTTTGGGAAAGTGCAGTAACCAAGGAGCTTAAAAGTTTGTTTTGGGTGGTAGGTTGCAGCCAAAGCTTGCAATGCTGCAATGCTGCAATGTAAATATAACAGCGCACCTGTGGCGGCAATGCCTTCTGACCCCGTTCTCCTACTCCCACCGGTAAAGCCACTTTCTCCACCCCTTTCTCTCTGGATTTTGAGTGTGTGCCTCTCTGGGCAACTTGCCTGTTGAATGCCGGACTCGCTGTCAGTTGGATTAGCATCCTGGCGCCGTGCAGAAGCATCCTGCGGTGGACAGCCATTTCCTTCTCGCTAGCTCGTTTTTTGAACCCCGCGCGCGCAATGGGCAACCAGTTGAGTGTGAATAGCATCCAGGATGCGGTCATCGATCGCTTTCGCTCGGTGGCTTTGACCACCGATGCCAACGGCGCCATGCGAATCCGTTCGTTTTCGGAGGGAGTGGTGACCACCGCCCACCATCACCAGCAGCATCAGCAGAATCAGCAGAGTCCCCATTGCAGTGGCCGTGGTGGACGTATCCTGCGTGAAAGCAGCATAGATGGCGGAGTGGTCATGTTCGATGCTTTGCTTCGAGATGATCATGAGCATCGCCTGAGCTTGGACGCAGTGCATCGGATGCGGCATGTGAGGACATCCTGCACCACAATTCCCGAGGAGGACGCCGTCAGCGATCGCAGCCTGCAAATGCATCTCGTGTCAATCGCCCGTGAGCGCGAAGTAAGTTGCAAAGTTGTAAAGTTGCAAAATGCGGCAAACGGGTAACAAGTGACTTGCGAATTCGCTAGGAAAAGCTTTTAGCGGAAAATGTTCCAAGTGTGGGAGTGTGTGCATGGAAAAGCTTTGATTTCAGTTTGCGTTGGTGTGTTTTGCTGATTCGGTTTGTTGCTGCAAATGACGACGTCGTTAGTTGTGGCAGCAATAAAAACAAAAAGTAAAAGATTATATTATTGATTGATCAAATTTTGAATACCCTTGACCAGTTTTAAAAAACAATGTAATTATTTATCAATCCTCGCTTTATTTGGCCAATTTTCAAACTTATATTATTTTATTATTTAAAATTTCTTCTTAAAGTGTCTAAAATTTTTTTTTTTTAATGTTAAATGTAATATTTTCAACATTTTTATTGCAAAAGAGTAAATTAATTATTAATAATTTATAAACATTAAAAACAAATTTAGATAACAGTTAACAATATTTCAATTTTTGGTATAACAAATCATATATATTGTTTTTGTTTGGGAGATTAAGTACCTTAAAAAGTACCAACTGTCTGACTTAATTTCCTTAAAAACAATTTAAAAATAGTGCTAACATTTCTTGCAATTTTTTGAAAACAAGATATTTTTGCAATTTAACTAATTAGCATGATATTATTCTCATTAAAATAATAATAAATTTGCCATTAAGAAAGCGCACTGAATTGAATAATCAGAAATTACATAAAATGTTTTTGATAATATAAGAGGTTCTAAATCGAAGGGTAGTGCAGCTTACCTGCTACAGCAGCAGCTTTTTGAAAGTTAATGTCGAATTTGCACTTGAAACTTGAAGGGAACGCCAGCAGAAACAGTGTAGGGCCTTTTCTCCTGCGAAAGCTTTTCCTTCCGCCAACGCTGCGTGATAGCTGCGCGAGTGTGTGTGGGTTTGTGTGCGAAAAACTTTACTTTTTGGCCATCCAGGATATATATATATGTGGAAAGGTTTGCTTTGCTGTGCGTGTTGGTGAAGGTCATCCTGTCGTCGTCGAGATTGTGTTTGTGCCTGTGGCTGCGAGAGGTTGCTTTCGTCCTTTCGGTTGTCTCAGTCACTTTTTGGCCACCGTCAGCTGCCCATCGTCGTCCCTTGTTTTCGCCAGTTTTACTGCCCAATTTGCTATTTACCATTCACCTTTTGCGACCATTGCTTCTTTGACTTCTTTGCCTGATTGATGGCCACGCGAACTCCGGCGCTCCGATCATCGAATTGTCCAGTTTAACGGCCGTGTTAATGCCGCTTTTACGGCTTTCATCGCTCCGTCCGGCGCTGTTTACGCCGGCTTCTGATTAACAGCCGAATCGTGCCAAAAACTACGCCGGATACTTTGTCCCCAGTGTCCGCCGATTTGGGCCATAAAATAAAAACAAACAACAATCAATTGCTGGCCAAACGAGGGCAGGAAAAGTGCTAAACCGGAAGTAAAAGGAAAACAGATTCGGCCAGCGAAATGGTGGGTAAATTGTCATGTGTTAAATACGGTTAATTGGACAAGGAATTCGGTCAGATATGCGCTTCCGTCACATTTAGAATTTTCCTTTTTTTTTTTTACCAAGAATGAATCTTTAACGATAATAACAACATCCCCTTGAGGTCATCGCTCATACGCTGTGTTGCCTTTGAATTATGTTTTATTCATCAATTATATTTGTAAACTCTTTTTAATATTTTACATTATAATTTAAAAATTGTTGATTTGTTTTAATATCTGTTACGGCTTAACTTTGTAATTTGAAACAAATACGATTTTAGTTCAGTGCATGTTCATGGCTAATAAGAAAAAAGGAATTTGTAAAATTCCTAAACAAGTGCATACATATCCATTTGCATTTTATAATTGGCATTGGTTTTAACTCTGGGAAGAGTTAGCTTGCGTTAACAATTGGAAAGAAATAAAATTGTAAATGGGCGTGATTAGGAGAAATACCATTTCCTTTAAATGGAAATTCGTTTAAGCTTGAAATATCTATGGCACCCAATAAAAATTGCAGCTCCACATTATTTTCTGTATATAATTAACATAAAGTGTCTTAATTTTTAATCCCAAAATATATTTCGATAAGAGGAAATCTGTCTTATATATGTAGAAATTAATGACACTTTTAAATTTTTTAAAAGAAAAAACCAAGATTATCTCAACAAATTGGGTTCAAAAATGAAATATATTTCTTGGCTTTTGTGCTTTCTACTTTCGACGCAAAAGCATTTGCCATTATAATTTTAAGTGGCTGTTAACTGGTAAACAATTCGGATGGAAAATTGTCCCATGAAATCTGACCTCGAATAATGCTCTCTTTACTTGATTAAATTGTTATTTTTATTAGGAATTATTTCCTTTTTATGCATTCGCATCGCAAGATAACAATTTCTGTGATATTTTTAAGTGGCTCGAGAAAAGTGATTTATTATTTGATACCCTGGGGATTATGGTTGATACTTTGGGTATTGAAATTTGGCACAAAAGCTTTGCTTATTTTTGTCCTGCCATCGAACTTTGTGAATAATTGAGTAGCGTGGAGGTAATATAATCACCGCTCCACGAACTTTTTTCCACCTCCAGCTCTCTGGTTTCGCATAAATAAATTATCGTTCATTTTACGCTAGAGTTGGGGCAGCATTTATCGAGAATCGAAACTTTTATGTAAATAATACTCACAAAAATATGTAAAAGACCATTGTGTTGTGGAAAAGTTACTGGCAAAATACGTATCCGTATCAGCCGGATGTGGCGACCTTTTGTGTGTGTGCCGATCCATTAAGCGGCTTATAAACACAGCTCCGTTCGAGGGTCCACGAATAATTTGGCTAATAAAGAGGGCTGAGAATCGACGGAAACACTTCCAGGCGCAACAGTTTTCAAATTAAAAATTCCCCAGTACCTTTTGCCATTTTCCTTGGTCAAATAAACCTTTAAATCCTTTTGTCCAAATGACGTCAATGGATAGTATTGAAGCGTTTTGGCCAACTCTTCAGGCTTCAGCTGTCAATTTGCTGGATGGTTGCTCGGTTGTTGACAGCTGTGACGACGATTGTGGCGTGTCCTTTTTCGCAGGACATTGCCTGGCCATCAAATGGGCAGCTGGATAACCCAGAATCGATGGGGGTACGCCTTTTGTGTGTCCCCAAAAATAATGTTTATGCAGGCCAACGCCAACAAAAGGTTTTCCCCAGCATAACTGATGGTTCCAGAATAGAGGAGGGGGAACATTTTTGGGGGGCGTGGCAAAACAAAAGTTCACTGAATTGGAAATTTCGCTGAACCAACTTTCAAGGCGCCGGAGGGCTGGTGGAAAAGCGGATGCAGCACGGATGTTTTATACGGGTCTTTTCAGCTATACAGTGGGAAAATTTAAAGCGGATGAAAAGCTCACGCAAGTGCGAAAGAGAGCGATAATTTTAGCGTCAAGTAGGGCGCAAAATTTTAATTAATTCGATTATAAAA